CAGACAGATAATTGAATTGGCCAATGAGCACTGTCTTTAAAGAAAATAAACACGCAAATGTGGAATACACCTACACAGCAGCTGTCTCAACTGCAGCTTCTTCAAATGACCCCATTGCTTTCAGCCAAATATGAAAAAACACCTGTTAAAACCTATAGCCTCTATCACATTCACAAGGTTTTCGAGAAAGGGGGATAAGGAACAGAAGACTGCAGATTATGTATATCAATAGTGATCAAGCCAAATATGAAAATGATTAATTAAAAACTATAATCTTTATCGTGTTCACAAGGTTTTTTGAAAAATGGGGTGTAACTCCAGAGCAGAATGCTGAATATCAATAAGATTCATCCTCTCATGACCCCAATGCTTCACACCAAATTTTAAAAAAATGTGCATTCAAAACTACAGCCTCTTTCATGTTAAAACGCATTAAAAACAACATCTCCTATTGCGTTTTCCACAAAGGGGGATAAATCCAGAATGGAAATGAAATGAAATGGGGTTTAACGTCCTGCTCCGACTGGGCTAATGAAGACAGGCATATGCCATACAATGTGCTATGAGAGAAATTTTGCCTGGACAGTTGCGCTACGGCCTACTCTTATACTGAATTCCAACCGTCAATGTGTACACAGGACCACATTTTTGGGTCCCATCTGAACGATTAGACATTGTCCTTGCCAGGCCCTCCACCCTTCACCAATGGAAAGGGAAAACCACGTCGGAAAATCCTGATGAACTTTCGCGACTACCTTGGCTCCCTGATAACTCCTGAATGAAAAGTCCCGGTACACTGAATATTGGTTGGGTTTGCTTCACACCAAATTTGATAAAAACTGTCAAAAACTGTAGCCTCTAATGCGTCCAAAGGGTTATCGTCAAAGGGGGAAAAGTCTGCAACAGAAAGTCACAGAATGATATCGATAGGATTCATCTTCTCATGATCCCAATGCTTCAACCAAATTTGAAAAGAACTTTTAATAACTGTTGTTTATTTTGCGTTCACAATATTTTTGACAAAGAGGAATTAACTCCGGAACATCAAGCGTGGAAAGCTGAATGAAAGGGGAATATTTCCGGAACATAGAGTCGTAGAACCACAATACTTCAAACCAAATTTGAAAAGAATCTGTAGCCAATACATCGTTTTTGGCAAGGAAGGGGGGGGGGGGGAGATAACTCTGGAATAACTCATGAACCACCATTGCTAGGCACCAAATCTGAAAAAACATGAGCTAAAAACGACAGTCTCTGTCGTGTTAATAAGGTGTTCAGCATAACTCATGGTACACTGAATATCGATAGTGTTTGTCCTCTTATGACCACAATGCTTCACACCAAATTTGAACAAATCCGTCAAAAACTGTAGTCGTTATCGTATTCACAAGATTTTCAATGAAAGGGGGATAACTCTGAAACGGAAAGTAGCAGAATGCTGAATATCGAAAGGGTTCATCTTCTCATGTTAATAACTGTAGCTTACATGTATATGCTGTTCACAAGGTTTTCGGAACAGAAAGTCATGGAAAGCTGAATATAAAACAGAGTTCGTTCTTGTATGACCACAATGCTTCACACCAAATTTGAAAAGAATACATCGAAAACTACAGCCTCTATCGTATTTAGAATGTTTTCAGCAAACTGGGAATAAAGAAATGGGGTTTAACGTCCTACTGTTCTGCTCCTACCGGGCTATTAAAGATAGGCAAAGTGGGAATAACAGAATGTCATAGAACACTGAATATAGTTAAGGTTCATCCTCTCATGACCACAACATTTCACACCAAATTTGAAAAGAGTCTATTTAAACCTACAGCCTCTATCGTGTTCACACGTTTTTTGGAAAATGGGACAGTGGAACAAACGGTCATGGAATGCTGTAAATCGATGTTGACAGACAGACTGAAATGTGGGTGTATAAAAATATGTCAGATGTCAATACATGTTGTAGGCTACACCAACAATCAAAAGAAAGTCAATTGACATCTGATGAAAGATTGCTCAAATCTTTCAATTAAATTTGAAGTAAGAAACAATCTCCCTAAGCTGCCATGAAGAGAGAAGTACATACTAGGGCTCAAGTACTAAGGGTTTATAACTTTTTACTAATCACACGATTATTTTTCTATCTCAAACATTTTTAAATAAATGTTAAAATACAGATCTGTAGATATTTTTTTATGAAAATCAATGAGAATGGATTTTTTGGAGTAAATTGTGCTAACTAACTCTATTCCATCCTGTGAATAATGTGTACAATTCATACTGTTCCTATGATTAGCTTTTATAATTTAAGGTGTTTGGAACACTTACAACACGATTATCTGTTACTTTTAACACTAACTGGCCATCAACATTTCTATATTTCATTACAAAACGACACTGAAAAGAAGAAGAAAAAAAAGAAAATTAATTAATAATTGCAATGTCTGTGTATATTATTGTACACAATACAGCATTTGTTCTGAATTGGAGAGAGGTAGGCTCATAGAGGTGTATATATAATTGACAACCTTGTGGGTTTTCTCTGGGTCCTCCCACTGCTAAAGACCCCTACGCGCAAGCGAATTATTGAAATAAAATTAAACCATGTTAGTCCCGAAATGACCTAGTTTGTGTCGAGTGGACTTAAATCCCATTTCTCTCTCTCTCCGCTATTAGACTAATGAACAAGATTGTGAAATCAGAGGGCAAGTATATTAGATTTTACAACAATTTGACATTTTTAATACGATGAAGAGATAGTGCCATTGCCCCCTAATCAAAAGTGTTAAGTTTTAATTGTATTTGCTTGTTTTTTTTGTTGCATATTCTTTGCCTACTATTCACATACCTGTATTATTTGCTTGATAAAGACGAGAGTATCCTTGTTGAAATGTCGCTTAGGATTAAACTCAGTAATTGTGAGTGTATCCATAAAATTGTACCTTGTGTTAATATGTTCAATTATTACTAAATGCCAATCAAAGAAGAAATCGATTAGGCCTTAGATCTATCCAAAATAAAGATTTACGTGAACTACATGAGGTTTCAAAATTTAGCTAACACTTTATGGATCTGGACATTTTTGGGGACGATCGGTGTTATCTATGAGTATGATAGTAAGTAATAGTATAGCCTACAAATACAATGATATTGTTGATAGATAAACATGATTTCCTCAGTTCTACCCAAAATCATAGATTACATGTCATTTGGGACTCGCGTCATTTGGTACTCAAAAAAATATGACCACGACATTTGGGACTCGGGTATACGTCGTTTGGAACTTTGGTATACGTCGTTTGGGACTCGGGTATACGACGTTTGGGACTCGGGATAATTTTTTAGAAATAGGCCAATTCAAAACACGAAAGAAAATATTTATTAACATGAAACACGTGGTTAGTAAAAGGCTCAACCAAACGATAAGAAATGGCAACGATCAAAGCGGGATAATAAACGCTGATTAACTGATAATCTCGATGTTATTGCAGTATGTTCAAAGAAACCTAACGGTTCTTTGGTGGATGAGGAAAAATGTGAGTTGTCAATCATCGAGAATGGTGGCCGTGTGTTGATTGCAGTTATACCGTTTCACGAAAAAACATTAGCAGTGGTCGGTCAATCAAGCTCGTTTACTATTTGATAAAAGAGAAACAACGAAGTATTACTAAATATACACAAATTTTCAACAATATATTATTGTCAAGTTTTATACTCGCAGATAAGATAAAACAAAACAAAGGAGAACTAGCAGTGTTAATCGCGGTCTCAACAATCGCTGATCAAGTCAACTAAATAAAACGAAAGACAACTAAGATAGCTGTTACTATGTATCTCATAAATAAATAGTCCCAACTGTCGTTTATATTGAGTCCCAAATGTCGTTTGTGTTGACTCCCAATTGACGCCAATCAAGTCCCAAACGTCGTCAACTGAGTCCCAAATGTCGTTTATGTTGAGTCCCAAATGACGTGAGTCCCAAATGACGTGATACCAAATCATATATATGTGCATCACCGTCATTATGATAGTTATTCTAAATAATAAAGCCCCAAAAAGATACCAGTTGACCAAAACGATTTTGTTTTTAGTAAGACCTTTCAATCACCAATTTTTTGGTAGATTGTTGAATTAGATTAAGATTAGGAACCATCAAAGCAAAGAAAGATTGAATGGTCACTCACAGCTGGATTCACTTTTTTACGCTGTCGATACTATACCTTGATTGGATCGTTGATATATAATCTTTCAACTGCTTTCGAAAATTCTTCCCACGTTTTCAAATATGTCATTGTTAGGTCTATAAAGTATTTTTATAGAAATAATTGAAAATTCCGTTTCAGTAGCATCCAAACAGTCCTCAGTTCCTCCTCGACTCCCTCCACGGCACAATACTGGATCTTCAATGAGTTACTTTCTATTTTTCACTCGGCAACCGGCTGCAGATTTCACTCGGCCAACTTCGGTTACTCCTCTACACCAAACCATGTTTCCAAACAGAGTTATCTTTCCGTGACCCGCAAATTATATTTTGCCGGTGGTGCAAGTAAGTTATAAAAATAAATACAACTGACAAAAGGTTAAGGACCACCTTAAAGTAAAACAAGACAGGAATATTTGGTCATTTAAGTAATAGATATTTTTTAATTGAGGATTTCGAAAAATATAGGAGTCCATTAGATGATCTGGTCAGGAAAAGGATGAGGATTACAGACAAGAGTAGTGATAACCATCGTCATGTGTATCCCTCTCTCACTTGGAGAGAGAGAGAGAAATGGGGTTTAACGTCCACTCGACTAACATATGGTTCAATTTTATTTCCATAATTCGCTTGCGCGTAGGGATCTTTAGCTGTGGGAGGAAACCGGAGGACCCGGAGGAAACCCACGAGGTTGGACAGGCGACCCTACTCCTTGTCACGTACAACCGGGGATTCGAAACCACGCCAGTTGACTCAATGACAGACTTTATGATACAGCGCGCGCACGCTAACCATTCAGCCATCCAACCCCCCCCCCCTCTCTCACTTGGATCACGTCCTCAACACCTCTTGTTTGATTAGTACCATGGTACCAAAGGAACCTGACACTATTCTTCTTGGAGTGGCAAGACTTATGCTGGAAGTATTTTGTGATGGATATTACATGGTTCCAAATAAAAACCATCTGAGTTTATTGTTGATGGTTAAATATCAAACAGACCTCATTTTAAACGGTGGTGCTTATCTTTTTGACACACATAATTTTTACCGTACTACTGCTCAAAAGCTTTTAATTTTGTTTTAAAATTCTGTTAATTCGTTGATAAATCACGTTATTCTATTCTCTAGTCATGGTAGTCAGTTAAACTTGAAACCTGTATGTTTAAGTTGTAACCACTGTAAAAAGGATGGCTGTAGAAGAATCATGTTCGTTCTGAATCTAAATGTAAAACCTATTCCCCCCCCCCTCCCCAGCCGCTGATCAACAGAAATGAGCAAAGTGAACCTGGGCACTAAACAATATTCAGAATACAAGTTATTTAGAAGTTTATTTTGTTTGTGGCTTGATAAATACAAGAGAACACTTTTCAAGACGTCGTCAGAAATGAACTGTGAAAAAACTTGTATTTAATACACCGGTATATTAGTCATGGTTTATTCAATACAGTTACTAAATGCAGCTTTAACAAACTACATTTTTTAATGGTTTATTTACAGAGAAGAAATGGGAAACATTACCAGACTGCCAGACACGCCCCATTGATAACAAAGGTCTGCCTGCTGCCGCTGTACACAAAACACCCAACCCAGAACCAATCGATGCCACAAAATTGCCGCTAGCAGAAAAAATTCGACGACTTTCAATGTTTTTACGAAGTGAAAAAAAAGTAATCAATGAAATTATGGTGAGGTTTTATTTATTAAAGATACATTATGGGAGATGGAGATAAGATAACGAGTTAGCAGTTCTCACTATAATAGTTAAAAACTACATAATGTAAAGGGAATTTGCTAAAAATGTCAGTCAAATTGGTCCACTATGAACCGAAAACTAAGCGGATGAAAGTTTCGCCTAGCCTCGAAACTAATAGTCTCGATTGTCTATTGTTGTGATTTAATTATCAATGAGCGATAGCAGCATATAGAATTGTAATCCAGTCGACATCGAAGGCTAGCCTTGACATCGGGAGTTTATTATGGTCAGGATAAGTTAATTAATGTCTAATTAATAATTTAGATAAGATTTCAGGCCTAAAGAAAGACCTGAAATTGACAGGTTTAGCTCTTGCATAATGCATGTTTAATATTTTTCACAATAATCTCATTAAAAACACAGATTCTGCTTTATTTTTATTTTTATTTTTATTCAAGCATGTATTACGTATAAAATTCTTTTATTTGCCCATCTACATAAGACCAGTTGGTCGAGTTTGGGTGGTCGAAGCGTTAATGCGTCATTACCCGCTTGTACGTGACAAGGAGTAGGGTCGTCTGTTCAACCTCGTGCGTTTTCTCCATGTCCTCAGGGTTTCCTTCCACTGCTAAAGACCCCTAATGAAATAAAATGAACTATATGTTAGTCCCGAAATGACCTAGTGTCGAGTGAACAATAAAGCCCATTTTCCTCTCTTTCCCATTAAATCCTATTTTATTTTCATTTTAGTTGTTTGAGAATTCTCTGATGAGTTGTAAAGTTGGAATTAGACCAGATTTTTTGATGTGGTGTGTTCCTAGCCAGAGCTATCGGCATCAACAAGAAAGAAATCAAACTGTCATGTTTCAAGAAGGCGGTGGAACTTTATCGTACCCTTCCTGTCACTGAAATTTTGAACCAGGATGATATGACCCCAAAAGTTATCAAGGAGAAACTGGAGAATTTTAACTCGACCGTTGCTAAGATGGAGAAAGAAACAATTGCAGAGTTACCCCCACCATCTATTTTGAAACAGATCCAAGATATTCTAACCAATCCTAAATATGCTTCAACCAATTCAGTCAGCAAAATGGAGTTGGCGGCCTCTGTGGCTAAATGTCGAGTCCGTTGTCGATATGATGTAGAGAGTTGTAAAGCTGAATCAGGGAAAGTTTATCATAAGGGAATGTACTTTATTGACAACATACTACAAGGTGCAGGTGTTTCAGTTTCCAAAAAAACTGCTAAGTCATTGTGTTATAATATGGTGGTTGAACGACTGACCACCATGAATGTTGAACATGGCAACATCTTAGATGGTGTCGAACAGTCTGTCATAACAGAAGCAGAAGCACAGGTTCAGAGCACTTTGGTAAAGGCAGCACCAAATCCTAGGGCATTTGATCTCCGTGAACAGTTTGTCAAAATGAACGAACTTAGCAGTGCCACGCATCCTGCATCCATCATTACTGTCTTGGATGGAATTTTCAACGATGTAAAATTGACGCCCATTTGTCTGTACCGTCGTAGCATGAACACAGAAATAGAAAAGGAGAAAATTTTCTGTAACCTCTATCTAGCTGGTCATCTCATCATGATTGGTGAAGCAGAGAACCGAACAGATGCCCAAGCAGACGCTTACTCTAAAGCCCGATAAGTTTCACGAACTGTGACCCCGAGTTCATCCTCCCCCAACACAGTAAACTTCAACCACACGACCAAGCAGCAACAGATGTTATCGACTTTCGTGTCAAGGGCAACTGCATTTTGGAAGATAACTGTTCGAATCTTCATCGCTTACAATGGACCCGAAAACCTATATCAACACTACCAGCCAAGGATATCGTTGTCTTTGAGGACGTCAGTTGGATAGTAGATCGTAAAGTTCAAGGTTTCTATATTTTACAACATTCATGTTTTGTCAACAATATGTTGTTGGAATGGGAGTTTTTTGACAATGATGATCGTGTATTCAGGTAAGTTGCCTTAAGGCCTAGTCTGGTCTCCCGGCCATAATCTTAAGGCCTAGTCTTGTGTCTTCCGGTCTCAACTGTAAGGCTTAGTCTTGTATCTTCTGGCCTCAACTGTAAGGCCTAGTCTTGTGTCTCTTAAGACCTAGTCTTGAATCTCTTAAGACCTACTGTAGTCTTGCGTCTTCGGGCCTTAACTGTAAGACCTAGGCTGTGTTTCCTGGCCTTAGCCTTCAAGCCAGAATTTCATATTTTCTATGAAAGTCAAAACATAATTATTTCTATGTCTTTTGCTCAATAGGTTATCAACTCACTATTATACGACTATGGGCATTATTTCCCACCCTTAAAAATCATTGACACAGGAAATAATAACACAATTACCTCCCTTGTTTTCCTATTGCCTCCATGCATTAGCTATCTTCAAATGTTGGAATTCGAAAATGATAATTTTGCCAATTTCGCAGCTGGCAATAGTGAATTATAGGATTAATAGGATTATTCTTTAACAAGGTAGGACTGTGTATGGATACCATCTATTTTAAGGCTTTATTTTAATAAATTTTAAAAATATAACTTAACAAATATGAAATTGTAGCTTTAAGATCTAGTCTTGTCCCATTGATCAAAATTTTGAAATGTTCAGTTTGCTTGTTACTCTTCTTTTGTTTTTAGGGGTGGTTGAGTGGTCCAAGCTCATAAGATCTTTCATTGAGTCAAACCTCCTGGGTGTCAGTCCAAAAATGTTGGTTTGTTTTGTGTGAGTGTTAATCCCCATTTCTCTCTTTTTTTACTTTAAGATGTCAGATGAAGATACAGAAGGAAGATGTTGGAACCGAACCTGCAGTGTCTCTTAGTAAGATAGGCTCTAGAAATTTTGCAGCAGCTGATATCTTGTTTAAGCTCTACGAAACACAACCAGTCATAGAGGTAAGTTATTCTATTGAATACTTGAATTAGCTTTAGGGCTATGGATTCCTGAGCTAAATAGGGCCTACATTATATAAAGATAGGTTGCCAGGCAACTAAACATACGCCCACAGCAGCTAAATCGTCCGAGCGGTCGACAAGAGTTGTCGTATATTTGTTCTTTTGTAGGTAATTAGGGGGCATTTAATAGACAACTTCATACAGATGACATTATAATTTTCGTCGTTTGAGGGTTCACAAGGTTCTAAAAACTAAAACAAGGGCTGTAACTCAGGAAGTAATCTACAGAAATTATTGAAATTCGACAGACTTTTTCGTTTTACTAATTCAAATAATACATATCAATTTCATACAGATCGGATGATAACTTTTGTCGTTCGAACGTTCACAAGATTCAACAAAGTAGAACAAGGGCCATAACTCTAGAAGTAATTGACAGAAATTGCTGACATTCAATAGGCTTCTTCATTTCACTAATTTAAATGATGCATATGAATTTCATACAGATTGGGTGATAACTTTTGTCGTTCAAGCGTTCACAAGATTCAACAATGTGAAACAAGGGCCATAACTCTAGATGTAATTAACGGAAATTTGCTGAAACTCAATAGGCTTGTTCGTTTTACTAATTTAAACGATACCTTTAAATTTCATACAGATAGTATAATAACTTTTGTCGTTAAAGCAACCACAAGGTACAACAAAGTGAAACAAGGACCATAACTCATGGCGTAATTAAAGGAAATTGCTGAACTTCAATAGGATTCTTCGTTTCACTAATTTAAATCATGCATATCAATTTCAAACAGATCGGATGATAACTGTTGTCATTAGAGCATTCACAAGATTCAACAAAGTGAAACAAGGGCCATAACTCTAGATGATTAACGGAAATTGCTGAAATTCAATAGGCTTCTTTGTTTTACTAATTTAAATGATGCATATAAATTTCATACAGATCGGTTGATAACTTTTGTCGTTTGGGCGTTCACAAGGTTCAATAACATGAAACAAGGGCCATAACTCTAGACGTAATAAACGGAAATTGCTGAAATTCAATAGGCTTCTTCGTTTCACTAATTTAAATAATGCATGTAAATTTCAGAAAGATCGGATGATAACTGTTGGAGTTAGAGCGTTCACAAGGTTCAATAAAGTGAAACAAGAGCCATAACTCTAGACGTAAAAAAACGGAAATCGCTGAAATTCAATAGGCTTCTTCGTTTCACTAATTTAAATAATGCATGTAAATTTCAGAAAGATCGGATGATAACTTTTGGAGTTAGAGCGTTCACAAGGTTCAATAAAGTGAAACAAGGGCCATAACTCTAGACGTAATAAACAGAAATTGTTGAAATTCAATAGGCTTCTTCGTTTCACTAACATAAATATTGCATATAAATTTCACAAAGATCGTATGTTAACTTTTGGCATTAGAGCGTTCACAAGGTTCAACAAAGTGAAACAAGGGCCATAACTCTAGACGTAATAAACAGAAGTTATTGAAATTAAATAGGCTTCTTCATATGTCCTTGAATCAATTTGAGCCAAGCTTGTATGTGACAAGGAGTAGAATCTCATGTCCAGTATCGTGCATTTTTTTCCCGTTCCGTCAACATGCTGCCAATGGCTATACAAGGGACCTTTTTTCTTGTCCAGTCCATCTTGCCCTTGCAACAAGACGAAAAAAGGCTGGAAAAACCTGAGGAACTTCATTGGCCAGATTAAAAACAGATTCTTATCAATGAGCCAGTGTCCTACACACCGAGTCAGAACCCACCGAGCCAGCGGTTTACCCACAGAGGTGGGTCTTTACCCACTGAGACATTGTCTTACCAACTGAGCTGGTGGCTTAACCCCTGAGCCGATGGCTTATCCACAGAGCTGGCACCTCATGTACTGAGCCACTTTGGTTTTCGTTCTGCTCTTGTATTGCACATAAAAATGCCTTCCTGGCTAGGCACAGATTTGACCTTTAATTGATGAATGCCATTATTTAAAGTTAACCTAGATATCATGTCTTAGTAAATCGTTTTTCATTCCAGGTTTCTGCTTACACTAAACCTGATCAAGCGATAGAATCTGTCAGTTTTGATACGTTGCTTAAAGAAGCGGAGGTGTTGAAGAAAGCTGCCGAGGATGCAGGAGAAAACGTTACAGCTACTACAGCTGAGGGAACTGATTCAGAAACTGAGACCAGTGACACAGATGTTGAAATGAAGGAAGAAGTAACAGATTCACAGGCTAAGAAGAAATATCCTAGAAAACCACATTACCGTCATGCTGATAGATTTATTTTAAAAGCTGCCCAGGCACGCCTAGACGAATTCATAAAAGTTAAAATGCTAAAAGATCTACTGTTTGGACCTGCTTTCCCTCATCATATCACACGCCAGATTAACGGCTTACTGTATAACCTCCCCGTTCCAGTTCGCTTTATAAATCATTCCACTAGAAATCAGATGTACACCATTGTAACGCAAAGTATGTCACCGATCAAAATTGTCGCATTTCTCAAAGCCAACGGTGGACAGTCTGGTCGCTTTCGTTTAGTCGACAAATCAGAACTTCCGACACATAAGGACATTTTACCAGAACTTAAAAGTAGGGAAATTTTAAGTAAGATCAAATCCAAATTTTAGTAGAAATTTCAATTTTGATTGGCTAAGCACTAAAACCAATCAAATTGTTGGCTTTTTTTTGCTAATAAATATAAGTGCTAGTCTAATGTCTTGTCTCAATTACATCTTCAACAGTATGGTTTTGTTTCTAATTTAAAATCCAAATATTTGTCTAAAGTCTTTACCAGTTGTGTGGTTGAGTGGTCTGATGTATGCTTTAGATCATAAGGTCTGTCATTGATTCAAGTGCCATGGTTTGTTTTGAAGGTACTTCCAACCTTATTTGGCTTATTTTCGCAAGTCATGTTTGGCCGTTTTGACTGACTTGCAGTGAAATTGACCAACTGGAGAATACTAGTAGATCATAAGGTCTGTCTAAAGTTTAGACAAATATTTGGATTTTAAACTAGATTTATAAGGGGCATTTTAAAGGGGCATTGGTGCCATTGGGTAAGATTAGATAAGAGCTGACAGTTCTCGCTATAATAGTTCAACAATAAATAATAGAAACAGAAAATGCTGAAATTTCAGTCAGATTGCTTTGCTCTGAACCGAGATATAGGTGATTCAGTTTTAGGCTACAGAGCCAATTTTCTGAAAGGTAACCTTTTCTGTGGTTCAAGTATCTGATGTGAGAATCTGGGCCCTGTTTCTCGAAATCTTAACAGTGGGAATGCAGTCGACCCTACTCTTGGAAACGAAGCTAAGCCTCTTCACTAAATGACAGACCTTATTATCCAACACGAATGCATTATCATTTGACTCCACCCCCTCCCCTGCAGTGACACATGAATGTTGTGACCAATAACCACTTTCCTGTCTTAAGGCCTTTGAAAACAGTATTCCTCATTATTAATTTGTCCCAACTAATCATGGTTCATGAATGCGTGGTCTCGATATGTTGACACTTCTACGATGGTGGGTGACTACGAGTCATGAGTGAAATAATCTTATTTCGTTTAATCTGTTATACTAATATAGAGAAAATACAATTTACATTTTATGGATATAACTTTTATGGATATAACTGTTACAACAAATAACACATCTACACAAATTTTTAAGTTGACCTCATTTCAATCAAAGTAAATACATGTACCCGTAAGTATTGTTTATATTCGCGTTACGTTTGGTAGTGGAACCGTGACACTGACATATTGTACATCGTTGACTTCAGGGTTAGGCTTGTTGTCTACCAAAGTTAGGTTAACATCTTCCACTACACTGCAGTAACATCATCAAGCTAACCTTTGCTAAAAGGTTAATGTTAATAACATCCACCAATTAGTCTATACACTAAACACAAGACCTGCAGCATTCAATCTCTGTGATCTGTAAATAATTAATAAAAAAACATATGAACTTACTTCAAATTTACACACTATAACTTATTACATAAACTTTATGTAGATAAGGAAAGTGAATTTTGAGATGCACTCCAATGACAAGTAGTTGATTTACATAAAAATTTACAAAAATAAGAACTGTTAATGAAAATAATAAACTGATTTACCTCAAGATAGATAATTGGAAATATTTTCTATACTTTTCTTCTGAAAAATGAAAGGGCGTAGTTTTATTATAAAACAAGGAACATGTACTACAAAAACATATAATTATTAATGTACCCCCTCGCCAACACGTACATTTGGAATTCATTTAATATAGTTAACTAAAAAAAATGTTAAAATCACAATTAATTATGATACCACAATTACAGGCTGGTAAAATCAACACAAAGTTCATACATTAGATTATAATAACCAGAATCGACTTTAAACTGATGTCTCTCACATATCAATGCCATAACTCTTGCAGTAATCATCAGATCTCGCTGAAAATCAATAGGCGTCTTGTCTCATGACCTTAAACACTGTGTATAAATTTAAAGTCAATTGGATTTTAACTTTAGCCTCTAGAGTGTTCACAAGATTTTTCAAAGTGATCAAGGGCCATAACTCTGGTAGTAATTATCGGATATCGCTGAAAATCATTAGGCTTCTTCGTCTCATGACCTTACACACTGTGTAACAATTTGGAGTCCATTGGATATTAACTTTAGCCTCTAGAGCGTTCACAAGATTTATCAAAGTGATCAAGGGCTATAACTCTGGCAGTAAATATCAGATATTAACTTTAGTCTCTATAGCGTTCACAAGAAATTGTGGACGACGGACGTATAAAAATAAAAACAAAGTTTAAAAGAATCAACTTAATTAACAAAAACAATAATTAAACAATCAAAAACTAAACAGATAAATCAAATTCAAACGGAACAAATAAAGCAAAGAAAAGGAAAAAAGCAGTTCATTACCATTCTACATTAAAAAAATAAAGGAAATCAACTTGCGAAAAAAACTTTCATAAAATAAGAGTAAAGTAACACTAATGTTAATACTTTTTTAACGACACTACTTGGGCTCCCGGCACCCCTACACCCAAGCCTATCCACACCACAACAAAGGTCCATTTCATTGATTTTTTTCAATTTAATGGTCAAAGCCATCAAAAAAAAAAACCAACCCATTTAAAACACTGAGAAAATAATTTCAAATTCTACCTTTATAATCAAGAAATATAAACTTTAAATATGTAATATGTAATTCAGATCTAATTTTCCATCAAAATCAATGTAAATGGACCTTTGTTGACCAGATAAGCAAATTACATTGATACTAACTTCAGACTTTACAATTTTGTATAGAATTCGAACATTAAATGATCATGCGACCGAACCTCCAGCATGAGGTCCCTAACAATATCTATTTAAGAATAACAGAAACCATAAATTAAAGGCGTTTTTAGGACCTGAGCTTCGACCATATTAGATAGTAAAAGCTTAATTGATTCTATTAGTTAAGTATAATATTTGAAATTAGATCTATAATATATAATTATGATTTTAATAAATCTTAGCTGACAATAACGTGCGGATTTCATTCAGTTTTAAAATTGGTACTATATAGAGCCTAGCCAGTATAGCGATTCTGAAGGGAAAATACCGCTTATGACTCATGACGTCACTCAAATATGACAGAAAAGCACTTATTTTGGTGCCATCCCACGCATTGACTGGTATATAGAGCGTTTTGATCATTTGAAACTTTGAGTTTGACCTGAAACCCTATTAATTAATAAATAGGTAATATTAATAAAACAATACTACTAGGCCTATTTATTAGTATTTAGAATATATATCATATGTAGGCCTACATACACTGTCATACAGTGCCTTTATTTACAAGTTACATCTGATTTATTAACTGATTATCAGACTTATCCATTTGTGTGTATCTCATTGATCATTCTCAGGCTCAAGTTATACTCCTGACAAGTCCATGAGTCACGATACTGTGACCCCCTGTTGGTTGCTGTTGTACTTACTTGTAGTTAAACTGTCACTACTACAACTTAAGGGGTATAAATAAAATGCTTGAAATGAAGTCGGACTAGGTAGATATCTAGGCCTAATTATAATGTAGACTTGTTTTCATATCGATTACCCGACGCCAAGACCACTTCTACTGTACTAGCACTAATTTCAATGTAGGCTACTTAGTTAGTAGTCTTACCCCAAAAGTTAGAAAAGACTTCGTCAGCAAAAAAAATTATTTACAATCGGTACATCTATGATTAAGATTTGATTTATGCAGTTTTAGTCAAATACTAGCCTACTATAAAGTAACAAACTTCATTTACATTACCCAGGTCAGAAAATCTCCTCAGAAAATAAAAGACAACTGTTTAGTGTTTGTAGCCCAATAAATATAAGAAGCTGACGCCGTTAAAAACAGTGTTAGCCTAAACATCAGAATATTGCGCCAAAAGCAAACCAGTTAAAAATATAATTTGCGGGTCACGGAAAGATAATTCTGTTTGGAAACATGGTTTGGTGTAGAGGAGTAACCGAAGTTGGCCGAGTGAAATCTGCAGCCGGTTGCCGAGTGAAAAATAGAAAGTAACTCATTGAAGATCCAGTATTGTGCCCCTCCACGTTCCTAAAAATAACCACGCATGCGCACTGCTCAATTCCAAATTCCGAACGAAACCTGTCGATAAAAACTTATATTTCTCACTTTTACATACAAATAAATAATCAGTTTCTTCAAAAATTGTTTTGATAAGCACTTATTATTTCGCAAAAGGTTAAACCCAATATTTAATTGATTTCACGTATTCTTCGATTCGTATTTATTCTACAGTTAATTTTTTGAATATCCAGTAAATAATCATAGAAGGAGGGAAATTGCAAAAATCTAATACTTGACACTTGCACAACTGTATAGCGAATCATGGCCGAGTTAAATCTGTCCAAAATGCAGGTTGGTAGTTTGACAGTCTTTCATACATATATAAATATATTGTCATTAATATATTATGATTGTTCGTGGTATCTTTGATAAACATGTGCGGCTAATAAAAATTGTGGAATGTACTACACCGAAGTGGAAAGAAAGGATTTTTATCATCAAAATCTTGATAAATTCAAACCTCATAACCAACATTAAAGGAGGCAAGTCGCTAACTCTATATGATCCACAATCTTCGACATTGCAAACACAACTTATTGTTCAATTTAAAGGAGCTAAATCGCTAATATTTGGGACCTAGAAATTGACTCAAATGGGTCGCAACCATATAATATTGATAATAATAATATTATTAATAATGTAATCTGATTGTATAAACGGATCTACATTCAGTTGTTTCCATTTTGACTCCGTTTATGTCCAGCGAAATATGGCATGAGTCTCAACCGAATGACAATTCCTAGCGTCTGGTTATTCCAGTCTATTGTGCATGCTCTCCAGATAAGATATTGTGCACTGTTTGACATGAGTTGTGGAATATGTCTAGCCTTGTTCTTCCTGGTCACTTGTTACAAATGACGCTGAAACGCACAATGGTACACGATTCGTGTACAAATGGTAAAATGTTTATTTTGTCTTAAATATTGGATATCAGAAGCCTACCTTTTCCTGGTAAGATCACAACACCAATGTTGATTTGAATTGACAATTAATTCGTGTTTTCAACGTGTAAGCCTTTGGATGATACTAAGTTGTAGACTTGGCTACTTTAAAAGGAGCTAAATCGCTCCATTTCTAGGTGCCAAAGAATAGCAATTTAGCTCTTTTAAAATGACAACTGTTTGATTGTTTTGCTCTGTTAATGACATCTGAATAAATATTGTGTCACAAGTTATATGCCTTATTTAAATTTTTAAGCATTTTACTGATATCAGGACAGTAATGATCTTGGTCATAGATATTTCAATTTCAGTTTATTATTTTTTAATTGTATTTTTCAGTTTGAATTTTTCACAACATCTGATGAACTGGCTTTAGAAATTTCTCAAGCCTTGGTTTCTATTAACTGCTGTACATGGTGTATTTTAAGGTTTCTTGGTGAGAAAAGACCCTGTATGTATGTAAATGAAACAGTCAATGAGGTATAATTTTTCTATGGCAAAAGCTTGTAATGTGTAAATCATGTTGGAATAATTCATTGGAGCTTTCATTGGGTCAAGTGTTGTGGTTTCAATCCCATGCTAATACTTGACAAGGAATAACCTCATTGGTTTTCTGTGTGTTTTCAGATGGGGGGTGTCTGTATATGGCGTTACAGCATTGCCCACAACCCAACAGTCCTTTTGTATAATATTATAAGTAAATCTATCCATAATGCTTCTATATAGTCATTGGAGTGACACTAATATCCATGCTTACTTTACAAGTTCTGTATGTCATTTTTGCGCAGATACTGTGATTATTTTATTATTGAGGAAGAAGAAGTTGCTGAATGTTTTGTTGTCTGGCAACTAAATTCTTTCTATCTTTTTCAGCTGAGACAATTGTTAAATGCTAAAGATGATACTGTTGATTGTGTTATATGTCCAGGTTGTTTAGGAATATTGCACAAATATAATACGTCTGATTTTCTACAAGAGGTGGGTAGTTCTCCATTTATCATAAAATATTAAATAGATGAGATTACCAATACTAAAGCTAATGTAGGATACATCAGTTCTTGTTGTCCATAAGATATTAGCTCTTGAAGAATTAGGCTATCCTTAAAAAATGTTGTTTCCTCTAATGGACAAATAAAAAGATCCAGTATGCTTGATCAATGGTTAAACATTGGAAAAACGTTGTGAGTTTTCTATAGTTCTTCCATTCTATGAGTAAGATCTATAGGTCTGGTATAGAAAGATAGTAAGATAGATGTTTGTATTTTTGTAGATAAATGGTGTTGTAATCTTGTAAGATAAATGTTTGTATTTTTTGTAGATAAATGGTGTTGTAAAGAAAGAAGATTATGAGTTTATAGATTATCAGTGTTCATTAATTGTACCAGTATGTACTATACTTAGACAGGTATGTAATATAACTAACATACACAATGATATAAAATATTTGGAGACACAGGTACTAATACAGTTAATTTCGTAGTGTTTTATTAATATTGCATATTTCTTTCGATTTTCTTTTTTTTCAGCATTCTATTTACCTATTTTTACAAGAAAAGCATGGGTGAGTATCCATAAATTGTGTTTGAAAAAAGAACAAAGTCTATATTTTATTTGAAATATTCTTTGTTGATTTATGGGTTAACAGGTCTCGGGTCTTTTTTTAACTAGATATTCAGAAATTTGACAACAGGATTTTGAAAAGTTAATCACCAACGGTGGCATTTGTTTTCTTTTATATTCCCATATTTAGTCTGGACGTATATTGTCATAGCTAGCACCTGTCCTTGATTACGATTTTTTTAATTTATGCGATACAGGTCAGAGTTCTTAACAGAACATTTTAAAATACTAATGCTTTTCAAATTTTCAACTTGTAAATTTCGAACGAATTTTGTGGAGTTATATTTCTGTTCACATTTTCATAGTTAAAGATTGGGACAGAATTCCGAGTTTTTTATTTAAAAATATGATGTAAACAATTTCTTAATTTGGACTTTGATTTTAGACTTGGCTGATGTTGGGTGTCGAAGAGGATTTATCTTTTAATTTTAATAAACCCACCTTTATTTCTTTAGTTCTGTATATTGTAAAATACCAGAAGAAGAAATATCATCTATTAAAGATGTATGGAAATGGTTTTGTGGTCCATCATTATCAAAACAATTAAACTCAGAGTTTAAACAAAAGGTATTATCTTGCAGTCATTTTTCAAATATTTCTGTGAATGTTAAAGATGGCTTCCCAGAACAGTATTTATCGGGTGGTTATTTCCAATAAAAGTATGGCAATTTTGGTATATATGGAAAGTAGAGATATCCAATCTTACTAGAAAAATACTGGATTCCCCAAAAAACACTCATGGAGCGTATACAGGACAAAAATGTAAAGGTTCCCCATATCAACAGCCCGACGATTATGACCTTCTGCACGCACGATGTCAAAGGTCACAAGCGAACATTGAGCGCTTGAAGTACAAGTTGATAAACTTTATGAAGAGTTAGACGTACAATACTTTCTGAGATAAAAATGACGGAAAAAGACGCGGGTAGTGGATAATCCGACAATTTAATTAGGATTCGATATTTGTAATAAATAGTAAGCGATTAAAGACAACATCGTCTTATGTATGCAATGATTTCTCCTCTGACTCCCAAGACGTGACGTAAACATGACCTGGTTTGATCGAATTTTAATAGCAGGGCATTCCTTCGCAATTACAATGTTTGAGAAGGATTTGAAGCATAATTATGACAAATTAATTAGTTTGAATATGTTTTTGGTCCATATATACCTTTAAATCACCCAGTTTGTATGCGGGAACCCATCTTTAAAGCTCTTAGCAGAGAAATAGTATGGTATTTCAAATAGATTTCTTTAAAACCAGAATAAAGATATACAATAAACATTTAGAATTGATACATTAGCTTAGTCCTTCTTTATCTAATCCCAACTTTCCTTTTGTAGTAAAGAAGAATAAACTTTGGCACAGCATCTAAAAGAATCAGTTACATGATAAATTCTTCAAGAAGTAGGCTTGTGGTGAATGCAATTAAAATGGGTCCGTCCGTCTGTCTGTCTGTCCATCACACTTTTTGAGACACAATAACTCTCTTTCTAATTGAGCTAGAATGTTCAAACTTGGTGTAGTTGTTTATTAGGTCAATGACTTGATGGAGTTCGAAGATGAGCATTTTCTGCTTAGGGTAAGCAGAGATGAGCAATTTGATTGGTCGAGACTTTGGAACACAATAACTTTCCTTCTAATTGAGCTAGAATGTTCAAACTTGGCGTAGGTGTTTATTAGGTGAATGCCTTGATGGAGTTCGGAGTTAGAAGATGAGAATTTTCTTCTTAGGGTAAGCAGAGATAAGCAATTTGATTGGTTGATGCTTTGGGACCCAATAACTTTAGTTCTAATTAAGTGAGAGTGATGAAACTTGGTGTATAGTTTTATAACATCAATATCTTGACTAAGTTCCATAATAAGCATTTTCTGCTTAGGGTAAGCAGAGCGATAAGCAATTTAATTGGTCGAGACTTTGGAACACAATAACTCTCCTTCTAGTTGAGGTGGAATGTTCAAACTTGGTGTAAGCGTTCATTAGGTGAATGCCTTGATGGAGTTCGATGATAAACATTGTCTGCTTATGGTAAGCAGAGATAAGCAATCTGATTGGTTGATGCTTTGGGGCCAATAACTTTAGTTTTAATTAAGTGAGAGTGATAAAACTCAGAGTATAGATTAATTATATCATTAACTTGACTAAGTTTGATGATGAGAATTTTCTGCTTAGGCTAAGGATCGATAAGCAATTTGATTGTTCAAGACTTTGGAACATAACAACTCTGCTTTTAATTGAGGTAGAATGTTTAAACTTGATGTTGATGTTCATTAGGTGAATGTCTTGACTGAATTCAATGATTAACATTTCAAGCTAAAGCTAAACAGTGCTAAGCAATTTTATTGGTTGATGCTTTGAGACCAGATAACTTTGATTCTATCTGATAGAGAGTAATGAAACTTGGTGCATACTTGATAATCGGTTTGATTGCTTGATACTTTTGAAAAAAATAAATGTGCGATTAATTAATATGTGTCATCTATTTATTTTGGGATTTCGGCGGGGGACATCAGCCTCACTGTTGGCTTGTTTTATTATAAGCAAATGCTGTTCTTTTGTTCTTTCAGAGCCCCTTTGAAATTTCCTTGATATTTAAATATGAAGATTCTGAAAAAGAGTGTTACTTTTTGTGAGTACAGCTGATGTTATTGTTTTAAGTTTTGTGATTTTAAGAAATATCTAACTGTCTATTCATTATTATTTAACTGATTGCATGTTACATCAGTAAAAAACAATAATGGAATCATCAATATTAAATCATTATTGAAATTTAGAAAAAAATAATGATTTTTTTCAGATTAGAAACAAATCCTAATGAATTTCAGAGAAGGAAAAAAGTAAGTTATAACATTTTATCAAGTGTCTGAAAAACAGTGATCTTTTTTTTCTAATCAAGTTTTTCTTTAATTTATGTTTTCAGTTTAAAAATATTATTTTTTGTAAATTTATGGAATTATGAAAAACAATGATCCTTTTTTTTTCTAATCAACTTTATCTTTCATTTATTTTTTCAGTTTGAAAATATTATTTATTGTAAATTTATGGAATTTTTTCATGCATCAAAGTATTGTGAAAATTGCATGTTAACCTAGGGTTTGGTCTCATGGATGTATGTGGCAAGGACTGTAGGTTTGATCTCATGGATGTATGTGGTAAGGACTGTAGGTTTGATCTCATGGATGTATGTGGTAAGGACTGTAGGTTTGATCTCATGGATGTATGTGGCAAGGACTGTAGGTTTGATCTCATGGATGTATGTGGTAAGGACTAGTACTGTAGGGTTTGATCTCATGGATGTATGTTTTTATTTATAGTCACCATTTGATATTTTTACCCGAGCTGCTGTTTTTAAAGCTGTAACAACATTACCAGATGATGTTTTTAAAAAGTAAGATTTATTTCAAATACAATGGGTCAATTCAAGTCCTGAGTTATGCTTGCGTTACTGTTGTGTTGTAGTGGTTTATAACTGGACTTCTTTGTTATGCCTTAATGCAAACCTCTTAATTTAACACTAGTGTTTATATTAGTTTAATACCAGTGTTAACTCTGGTGGAAAATAAGAAACGCTAGTGTTATTTTTAAATGCTCCACTTTCGTTTTTGTCTCCTGTCTTAATGCATTAAATTCTTTTCTGATCACCATCATCGAAGATGCAAACGAATGGAAGCTTGATAAGATTATTAATTGCGTACAGACCCAAACCAGTAAAGTTGATGCATATAGATTAGACATGAAGTCCTCTATAAGCTGCATCTCCCAATACTACAGATGGTTGGGTGGCTGAATGGTTAACGCGTGTGCGTTGCATCATAAAGTCTGTCATTGAGTCCAGTGGTGCAGTTTTGATTCCCCGCTTGTACGTGACAAGGAGTAGGGTCGTCTGTCCAACCTCATGGGTTTTCTCCGATCCTCTGGTTTCCTTCCCCTGCTAAAGACTCCTACGTGCAAGCAATTGGAATAAATTGAACCATATGTTAGTCGCAAAATGACCTAGTTTGTGTATGTTAGTCGCAAAATGACCTAGTTTGTGTTAAGTGGATGTTAAACTCTCTCTCTCTCTCTCTCTCTCTCTCTCTCTCTTCCCCCCAATACTGCATCATTAGGATGCATATTGTTTAAATACATCACAGACTGAGCAGGTTTGTCATGTGCAGTGCTGGGGATACCACTTATGATATGTCTTACCACTCATATATTGAACTTTTGGTGCATTACGCAGTTTACAACTTCGGCCAAAAAAGAAGGCATCTCCAGCATGAGATGGGCGTTGTATTTTAACAATCATACAATCAATGTACAGTACTGCAAACATATTTCTGGCATCTTTCAACTGGATTGGATATTAAAATTCGATCAAACAAGGTCATGTTTACATCACATCTTGGGAGTCAGAAGAGAATTCATTGCATACATAAGACGATGTCTTTAATCGCTTACTAATTATTACAAATATCGAATCCTAATTTAATTCTCGGATTATCCATTACCCGCGTCTTTTTCCGTCATTTTCATCTCAGAAAGTATTGTACGTCTAACTCTTCATAAAGTTTATCAACTTGTACATCAAGCGCTCAATGTTCGCTTGTGACCTTTGACATCACGAGTGCAGAAGTTCCTAATCGTCGGGCTGTTGATTAGGGGAACCCTTACATTTTTGTCCTGTATACACTCCATGAGTGTTTTTTAGGGAATCCAGTATTTTTCTAGTAAAATTGGATATCTCTACTTTCCATATATACCAAAATTGCCATACTTTTATTGGAAATAACCACCCGATAAATACTTTTCCGGGAACCCATCTTTAATTCTGAAAGCTTTTTAAAAAAAATCCCTATTTGACTTGAGCTGAGATTTTTTTTAACCCCTAGGGGTTAGTGTTAGAGTTATTTTTAACAAGATAATTACTTTTATCAAGCTGTTATTATCTAATAAGTTTTTATGTAATTAGAAATAATATTGCACAAAGCTCCTTGTCAAATTATTTTTTCATATAAATTTGTTTTCGTAAATTGGGAAATTGGTATTGGAAATATAGACAAACTGAGGGGCTCAGGTATAAGTTAGTGTTTGGGTATCCATGGTTAACACAACCTCAACACCACAGACCTTAACTTGGATTCATTTGAAATACAGAGTGGGTCTGAGGTTGAGTTAGCATAAAATTACACCAGTGATACACTGATCTATCTGGAGTTAAACCCTACAACACCTTAACCCATGACTTGAACTGACCCAATGTTACTTCTATAAGACAAACTTCCGTGGATTAAATTGGCATATGTTTTCAAATTTATGCTTTTATTTATGTTGTTAAGAACATCTGAGAATCGAACAGTGTCATTCTTGCAATTCTTAGCTTTTTGTCGCCCACCTTTTGAAGAGAGCAAGGTACTGATAAAATGAGTTTGTCTGTGATTTTATTTGGGGACACAATCACTTTGGTACTAATTAAAGATACATTATGGGAGATTAGATAAAGAGCTGGCAGTTCTCACTATAATAATTAAAAACTAGATAATATAAAGGAAATTTGCTGAAAATTTCAGTCAAATTGATCCACTATGAACCAAGATTTTAGTGATTGAATTTTTGGCCTAGCCTTGATCATCATTACTAAAGTCTGTAGGATAAAAAACATAGTCTCGATTATCCATTTCATGATTTGATTATGAATGGAAGTCGAACAGCAAATCTGAACCTAATCCAATAAACATCGCAGCCTAGCGATGCCATCAAGAGTTGATTATGGTCTGGATAAGTTAATTAATGTCTAATTAATAATTTAGATAAGATTTCAGGCCTAAAAAAAGACCTGCAATAGGCAGATTTAGCTCTTGCATAATGTTTAAGCTAGAATGTTCAAACTTGGTGTAGATGGTCATAAGGTGGTTTGATGATGAGTATTTTCTGCCAAGGCTAAGTAATTTTGCTATTTATTTTTTTCCCTATGCTTCTAATTGGGGTAGAAACTTCAAACTCGCTTTGATTGTAAATTCAGTGAGGTTGTTGAAACTCTTTGTATAATTTCATTACCTTAATACTGTCACCAAGTTTCAGAATGAATATTTTCTGCCCTGGTTGCTCGATGGATGGCTTTATAAAAATATAAATGTGCAAGTGATTAATGAGTGTCATCCATTTTTTTTTGGATTAAGGTGGGGGACATCAGTCTCACTGGTTTGTGACTATAAATAAAGGCTACTAATTTTATCTTTACAGAAATTATCAAACTCCATGTTTGACTCCTGTGAAAACTATAGACTGTGATATATCATGTAACTTTGATGCTATATTTATTGCTGGTATGTACATGTAGCTGCCTAATCTTCTAAACAATCTTTTTATTATTTTGACTTAAGAAATATTGTATACGTATATAATACTATCACTAATCAGTCATCAATACTGTAATATTAATCTGTTAAAACATCTTAAAGGGTGAAATATTTCAAGATTTATGAAAACTAGAGGTCTGTAATTTGTATGTAAACTTTTTTTTATGAACATTGATTTAACTTGACCCGTGATTGATGTTAAAAAATATTTATTTGACTTTTTGTTTTTAGGAAGATATTTAAAGTTTAGCCGAACATTGAGTCAGACACCATGGATTATTGATGGTGTTAGAAAAACTAAATCATCTGTAGAAGAAGAAATATGCAGTGCCATGTCTATATTTCAAGCTACAGGTAAGTCTAATTTTGGTTTTTGCTTACTGGTATAATTTATTGAAATCCTTATATGGCATTTAAGTAATTGAATATATAATATTAAAACATTTACTTGAGAACGCCAAGAGGAACTTGTTGAAACGTCATGTGAGATAAACTTGGTGATTGTTTTCCATATAAACTGTGTTTTAATATTGTTTAATTTATTGTAGTCATATATTGCTCATCCGTTCACCATTCACATTTTTAGTTAGCACAATATAGGTTACAATAATTCATATGATTTTGATACAGTTGTTTATCTTGTTGTAAGGAAGAAGCCTGTTGATTTTCATCATTTTATTAGTTATTACCCTCATTTACTAAATAAATTTTTTGTCAGCAGTTATTTACATTTTTTTCTGAAATTAATGTTGTTTATCATATTAAAACTAAGAACCTTAAAGGCTCAATACCACTCTTGTTGTAACTGAATAATATGTCCCAATCTTTATTCTGGTCAACAAATTGTACTATTTTAGAATATTTCAATTAATTGATGATCCAAATTTCATCTTAACACACCTTATTTAAAATTTTTGAAAAATTCAACATAATGGTTTGAAACGTCTAACGTAAACCTTTTCAAATAAAACTTCGATTTAAAAATATTTTCGAACCCTCTGCACAAGTAAAATAGGATGTAATGGATAGTTTACACAACAGGTAGGACACTTAAACATCTAGTACTTAGATAGAGATATTATTTATTTTCTGGAGCTTTCAAGCCAGCAAGAGTGTTATTGTCCCTTTAATTCCACTCAATTGTACCAATTAGAAAGTCTTGTTAGCTTAGAAACATAAATTTGGGAATATATTGATATATTATTATTAGGGTTGACTTATTGTACAACTCAATGCATTACCATGTCTTTCTGCGCATTAGGTGCAGACTGAATTTGTCAGGTGTTCAAGGAAAATAGATATCTCATGGTTTAGACCCACCGCTCTGCAGTTCTCAGTGCAATACATGCCATATGTCAAAAATCTACAAGTCATTTTAAATACAGAAAACTAAACAGTGTTTACCATTAAAATCATTACCTATGATTGCATACAATAATCTGGTTACTTTGAACATATATTTGTTTCAGATTTCAAATTTTCATCATCGGGTAGAGAAGATGTAGATGTTAGGATGCTGGGAAATGGTCAGTATTTTAAAACAATTTGTCAGTATAGATGCAATTATAAAATACAAGTTAATATCCAGAGTTCTTTCCCTTTGCCAGGTCGGCTTATTTATTATCTTTCCTGTATAACCTGTTCTGATGAAACACCTTACCTCTTTTCTTCTGTAAAATGATTAAATGTGTTGCCCTTTCTACTTATTCATTGACAAAGTTTGTATTTCTACAGGTAGACCATTTATAGTAGAAATACTTGATGCTCACCGTTGTCATGCTGTTAATGAAATATCTACAGTACAAAAGGTTTGTTAATATGTGCAATTTACATAGGTCAATACATCATTAAATAAGTTCCATCACAAATTATTTACCATACAAGATGGAAGAAGTATCCATTTGCTCACTACTTTTAGTAAAAATTGATCTTCTAATATGAACACATTTAGTCAATCAAATGATGCCATTCCACACTTTATTCAGGAAATTCTGTTTGCAAGAGAAATTGCAGTGTATGGTGTCATAAAGGGATGTAAAGTTGAAGTGCTGCAGGGGAACAGGCAGATAAAATCAAGTTGAATTATTCAGATGGTGAAATGATGGATGTGTGTTTATTAGCATATTCCTGAAACATATTATATCACTAACTATAGTTATGAGTGATTTGTTCCATTGGTCTACCAACTTTACTTGTAGACTAATCAAAATAGTCAGTACATCTATAAACCTATATCTGTTAAATATCATGTGATTATGGATTGTGTTTTTTTAAATTCCAAATCAATATATATGACAGTACATGTATATTATCATTATTATTTTTGTAGTTGATAAACAAAACATCAGATGTAGTAAAAGTTAGAGATTTACAACTTATAACAAGGTAAATTTTATATAATATATATCAGCATACACCTCCAGATTATATCTCCCATAGCAACTATTGACGTTTTAAGGTAGCTATTCCCCGTATCAACCTTTTGTCAAAGCATTTGGTGTTGATATTGAATAAACCCTAATAAGCCAGTGCACATACTTTGAATTTCACGTTCACAAGGTAAGCAGTTGATATTGGATAATTTGGACTTTGTGTCTATGTTGAAGAAGACGGTTGTTATTCAAAGTAAAACCTGTACTCTCTTCCCTTAGGTTTTTATTTTGGCGGATAACAACCAGGGAAGGGGTTCCTATCTACTACTTCATTTTTTTTAAGTATACAGACCAAGCTATAAATATATGAAGTTTGTATAATTGTAAATTTGTTTACAATATATATTTGGTTGCAGAGAAGATTGAATACATTATTGTTTGTTATGATATATATTTTTAGAGAGGACATACATAATCTAAAAGAAGGTGAATTAGAGAAGAGTAAATGTTATATGGCATTATGTTGGTCTTCTTCAACACTTACTCCAGAAAATATACAACTTATTAATCAACTAAAGGTATAAACATCTACATATTGAATTTCAACTAGTCTTTATACCTATATATTTGAAAGGCAGTCATTTATATACTATACAACACAATGTTAAATTTCGTAAACTCTTCATGTAGATAACATTTATAAAGTCATCATTGATATATAGAGAATCTCCTACCAGTCTTTTTTGATATTAAAAAATATCAACACAAGTTGATATTTTTTGATATCAAAAAAGACGAGTAGGAGATTTTATTTATCACCCAATCCTTTCTTACATGCACAAATAGATAAATATAATTCTTTGCTGTAGATTTCACTTTTACTGAAGATTACGGCGTAGTGATACATCATTTTTTGACAGCAATTCAACCATTGCAAAGTCCTTTATTGACCCAGTGTTTCCATCAAGGTCAATTGAATAACAATAGTTCATTTTTAATAAAAAAAAAGTTACTTTTAATAAGAAATGAACCGTTCTTTGAAAATAAAAAAAACGTAGTTCCTTTTCAACTGACCAATCAAATTCATGTAAAGCGATATTTCCTAAGGAGATTATGAAATATATCACACAAGCGATATCTACTGTAGAATGCATTATTGGGTGATAAAGTTTAATAATATTTTAAAGTTTTTTATCTATTATATGCCCCGATTTAATTTGGACATACATTGTCATCATCAGTGTCTGGCATCCATGACAATATTATGTGACCACTGTGCAGGTCAAATTTCTTAGCAAATTAGCAGGGATGTTTCATGTGGTCTTAAGGAATAAGTCAATTCAAAATTTTCTGATCACAAATTTCAGTGTTATCTCCCTATTTTATGATCAGACTTATGAAATTGTGTGACCAACATTCAGGGCAGACTTCTTGATGAAATGTTAAAACATTTGACAGTATTTTTCATTGGGCATAAGATAAGTTTCAAACACCTTTTGTGGAGTTAAGTTTCATTTCACATTTTGACTTTTGAAGTTTGCAAAGATAAACACATATATAAGCAATTTGATTGATCAATGCTTTAAAACACAGTTATTCTACTTCTAGAGTAGAGTGTCCAGATTTGGTGTAGATGTTCATTAAGTCAATAATTAACATTTTCTACTTAGGCTAAATGACAATATTGGTGTCAGTCATTATCACATATGTGATAGAACTGGTTAAACACGTTCCAAATATAATTTTAACACATAGATCATTGCTTCAACAGATGCGTAATCACGGTTTCAACAAACGGAAGTTACGAATGTAAAAGGAAAACACGAGTTATCCTTCTATATAACTGACTGAAGTGACAAGTAATAACAGATACACGGACGAATTTCTGCTCACTAACAATTCCTTCGGAGACCAAAAGTTGAGAGGATATCTGACAATTCAAAAAAGTAATTGAATGTCACTAAATAAGAGAACACGAGAAAAATAGAAATAGTCTGTACATTCTCTTGTTTTTGTCCCCCGCCTTTCGAAGAAAGCAGGGGACTATTAAAATGGGTTCGTCCGTCTGTCTGTCTGTCTGTCTGTCCGTCTGTCTGTCCTTCTGTCTGTCCGTCTGTCTGTCCGTCACACTTTTTGGGACACAATAACTCTCTTCCTAATTGAGCTAGAATGTTCAAACTTGGTGTATGTGTTTATTAGGTCAGTGCCTTGATGGAGTTCGAAGATGAGCATTTTCCGCTTAGGGTAAGCAGAGATAAGCAATTTGATTGGTTGATGCTTTGGGACACGATAACTCTCTTCCTAATTGGGCTAGAATGTTCAAACTTGGTGTATGTGTTGATTAGGTCAATGCCTTGATGGAGTTCGAAGATGAGCATTTTCCGCTTAGGGTAAGCAGAGATAAGCAATTTGATTGGTTGATGCTTTGGGACACGATAACTTTTAATTGAGCTAGAATGTTCAAACTTGGTGTATGTGTTTATTAGGTCAATGCCTTGATGGAGTTCGAAGATGAGCATTTTCCGCTTAGGGTAAGCAGAGATAAGCAATTTGATTGGTTGATACTTTGGGGCACGATAACTCTCTTCCTAATTGAGCTAGAATGTTCAAACTTGGTGTATGTGTTGATTAGGTCAATGCCTTGATGGAGTTCGAAGATGAGCATTTTCAGCTTAGGGTAAGCAGAGATAAGCAATTTGATTGGTTGATGCTTTGGGACACGATAACTTTAGTTCTAATTAAGTGAGATTGATGAAACTTGGTGTATAGTTTCATTACAGTAATACCTTGACTAAGTTTGATAATGAGCATTTTCTGCTCAGGGTAAGCAGAGCGATACGCAATTTGATTGGTCGAGACTTTGGAAAACAATAACTCTCCTACTTTGATTGTCCCCCGCCTTTCGAAGAAAGCAGGGAACTATTAAAATGGGTTCGTCCGTCTGTCTGTTTGTCTGTCTGTCCGTTCCGCTTATGGTAAGCAGAGATAAACAATTTGATTGGTTGATCTTCGAATTGAGTAAATGTTCATGCTTATTGTCCCCCGCCTTTCGAAGAAAGCAGGGAACTATTAAAATGGGTTCGTCCGTCTGTCTGTTTGTCTGTCCGTTCCGCTTAGGGTAAGCAGAGATAAACAATTTGATTGGTTGATGCTTTGGGACACTATAACTTTAGTTCTAATTAAGTGAGAGTGATGAAACTTGGTGTATAGTTTCATTACAGTAATACCTTGACTAAGATCGATAATGAGCATTTTCTGCTCAGATTAAGCAGAGCGATAAGCAATTTGATTTGCTGAGACTTTGGAACACAATAACTCTCTAATTATTTTCCTATTTCGGCGGGGGACATCAGCCTCACTGTTGGCTTGTTGTTCATACTATAGTTAATAAAAACATGGTAATGCACAGACTTTTTCTATATTTTTTCGTTTTCTCTTTTCTAGTGACAGTTAATTTCTGTTTTGAATTGTCAGATATCCACTCACAGTCTCATATAACAAGTTCTATCACATATGTGATAATGACTAACAACAATATTGTCCTTAAGCAGAGATAAGCAATTGGATCTGTCGATGTTGAGTGAGTGTGATGAAACTTGGTGTAAGCTTTAGTCAGTGCTTTTTTAAAAGGTGAATGTGCAAGTAATTCGTGAGTGTCATTCATCTTCTTTGGGGTGAAGACAAGGAACAATAAGTTCACTATTGGCTTGTTTTTTTACACGCCCACATTGAAATGTGGTCGTATATTGTCGTAGCCCCCGGCCGGCCGGTGTCCACAACTGCTTGTGTATGCTCTAGTGGCTAAAGTTAATATCCGATTGACCTTAGATTTATACACAGTATTTCTGGTCATGAGACGAAGAAGCCTATTGATTTTCCGATAATTACTACCAGAGTTATGGCCCTTGATCACTTTGAAAAATCTTGGGGATGCTTTAGAGACCAAAGTTTATAATACACTAAAATGTGATTAAGAGTAACAACTCATTAAGTAATTATCAGAAAATCATTAGAATTTGTTTGGCTTTTAGTTCTACCCCATGCTAACGTTTAGTATACGAAACATTTAACATCATGAATTTAGCTGTTCAAGTTATCAAAATTCATGATGTTAAATTTTTTGTATACTAATGTTAGCATGGGGCAGAACTAAAAGCCAAACAAATTCTGTTAATTACTTAATGAGTTGTTAGTTTATTATAAATGTTTCATTACCGACAATAGAAAAAATATGCGACAACTCTTGTTGACTGCTCAGACAACTTAGTTGCTGTGAGCGTATGTTTCTTTGCCTGGCAACCTATCTTTTAAAATTTCAGACAATAGAAATACAACAAAAGACTCCTCTCAGAGTTTTACATAGGTAAGTGTAAAATAATGTGATTGTGTATTATTAATGTTATGTGCACATTCTTGTGTATACTCTAGAGACCCAAAACTTTTAAAATACTATTTTACATCTTGCTATGACGAAGAAGGAAGAAGCCTTAGGAAATAAGGGTTATGTGAATATAAATTTGAGGGGTTATTGATTATTTTTGCAAAGACTTTTGCAAGCTCACCTGGCCATAGTTCACCAAAATAAATTTTGAAAAGGTAAATGCTAATCTTGTTTGGTTATTCATGATGAATGCTGTGGGTGTTGACTATTCAACCAATTAGAATTGACACAGTGTGTATTATAGATTTTATTTCTGTGTTTCAGACGATCACAAGCTGTAAGATCTAGAATGATCTATGATATATCTATTAAAGAAACCAAAGAGAATTATTTTAAACTCTATATTTCTACACAAGCAGGAACGTATCCTTACATTAAACAATTGATATGTGATTATTGACCACCTAAGATTAATGTTTGAAATTGCAGTTATTTTATTAATACTGTGAATATAGGGTGATGTGGACTGACCTGAACCACAAAATGATGGTCTCAGCAGCGTACTTGATGGATAATAATGATTTTATACTTTGATTGTTTCATTTTGTGGGGGGGGGGGGGGGGGAATGGTCTAACGTGTCTGTCAATGAGTCAAGTGGCATTGTTTCAATCCCACACTTGTATGTATAAGGAGTTGGGTCACCTGCTTAATCTCTTGTTTTAGTCCGGTGTGACTTCCTTTGAAGAATCTTTAGTGAAGACACCTATGCGCAAGTAAATTATTGAAACAAAAATGGTACCATATGTTAGTCCTGAAGTGACTTAGTTTGTGTCGATGTTAAACCCTGTTTCTCTTTCATTCATTCGTTTCATGTTGTAGATTATAAAAGTAGATCTGTAATCATGTTGACTAAACATTATAAATACACAATATAATTTTTCCTTAACACTATAAGATATATAAAAGAATTTGTTCATGGTGATTTTGGTAGAACTGTACCTAATCTATCTAGTTTACTAAATGTTGATTGTGATATATTAACATTGGATGTACAGGTATGTATGTAGTTTTATTAAAGGAACATTATGGGAGATTCGATAACGAGTTGACAGTTCTCACTATAATAGTTAAAAACTAGATAATATAAAAGGAATTTGCTAAAAATTTCATTCAAATTGATCCACTATGAACCGAGAACTAAGCGATTGAAATTTCCGCCTAGCCTCGATCATCATTACTAATTTTGATAACAATTCAGGCCTAAAGAAAGACCTGCAATAGACAGATTTAGCTCTTGCATAATGTATGTTTAGGGAGTTAATTAAGAACAGAGCCCCCCCCACACACACACACACATACACACACACTTCCCTGAAGTTCCGTCCCCTCCTATTTCTTGATGTAGTGAGTCAACATAAGTTAAAGTATTATATTTAAATTCATATAATTATTCTGTAGGCATTAAATATTAATAATGTAATTTTACTTTCACAGGGTGTAGAGTTAAAATGGCCACCACAACTTGACAACGATATGGATGCAGAATAATAGACCAATATTATATTATTGTAAAAAGAAATACGTTATTTGAATGTTGACAAAAATATGATTCAATATTTGTTTTATTAAAATTGATGTAAACAGTAGCTCTGTTAGTTGCTTTGAAATGATCACTAACAAAATGAGGTCATAATCCCTATTCTGTTGATCAATATAAAAAAAAATGTATTAAGAAACCTGATTCATCAAATGTCTTTGATGTCTAGATTTCTCCTTATATGTGAGAATAACCCCATAGAGGTGTTGTAGTGCTATACAAAAAGTTATTCCTATTGAACAAGTTAATTCTCAAGCCATGTAATTAATTGACAAAATCTAAAAGGTTTTTTGGTGTTATGTACCTGATGTCCTTTTAATAATCAGTTTTTGTTATTAAATAATAAATTAAACTATCTTGTTTCTTTCTATTTAATTTATAAACATAAAATGTTTCTAAATAAAATGAGAGAGAGATAAATGGGGTTTAATGTCTGCTCAACACAAACTAGGTTATTTCGGTATTAACACGTGGTTCAATTTTTTATTTCAATAATTTTCTTGCACGTAGGGATCTTTACCATTGGGAGGAAACAGGAGGACACTGAGAAACCTGACATCTAACAACAGCCTGTTGCTCCTTGGTATTTCTTTGAAAAGGTATCACAGAGCTTCAGACAGTTGCTTGAATAAATAGTTCTAATAGCCTTTCGTACAGAATTATCCAGATTTATTCACTGAAATGTTCTGGCAAGAATTTCCAGAAATTTGAGAGGAGTTAGAACATTCTGGTAGTATGGTACCAGTAGTTTTAAACCATTGTGTTTTGTTTTACGATGAGGCCATGGCAATGCATCTGAGGCAGAACTTTGCCTTTTGAATGACAAAAATCTCCACAAAATTGAAGGGTTTACAAAGGACTTGAGTATGCTTCCCGGTAATACCCAGTATCTGAGGGCAGTATTGATGAATTTATTACTGTTATGTCACTAATGTCATGAAGTAAACAGCCTTTCATTACAGCCAAGACAACAAACCTGTTGGTGGGCATATATTTCTTTGTTTTTTGACAAGACGCACCCATAAACTGATTTCATTTGTAAACACTGACCATGCATCATCTGTTTTTATCATTTTTACCCCCCCCCCCTTAAATTCTGAGGGAAAACAGAAATATCGCTGGCAGACAAATTAAAATGATAACCAAAACATCTGAAACACAAGTTGTGTACCATGAACAAAGAAAAACATATTCTAAATTACAATACGAAAGTAAACAGTAATAGCCGATTCACAAATGATAAAATAATAAAAAAAAACAAAAAAACGTGAAGAATGGGCTAATTTGGTGTAAACGATTGTCGTTCAGTTTGGACTGTTCGCGTATTTCACCGAGCATAAATGATTAAAAATTACAATTTTTTTTTTAAAAAATTGTATATAAATCACTTTATATACACTCATATTACATTAAACATACATTATGCAAGAGCTAAATCTGCCTATTGCATGTCTTTCTTCAGGCCTAAAATGTTATATAAACTATTTTCGAATCCCCGGTTGTACGTGACAAGGAGTAGGGTCGCCTGTCCAACCTCTTGGGTTTTCTCCGGGTCCTCCTGTTTCTTCCCACTGCTAAAGACCCCTATGCGCAAGCGAATTATTGAAATAAAATTAAACCATATGTTAGTCCCAAAATGACCTAGTTTGTGTCGAGTGGACGTTAAACCCCATTTCTCCCTCTCTATATATATAAACTATTAATTAGACATTTATTAACAAAACAAGATCATAATCAACTCTTGATGGCATCGGATACTCAAGATTTTAACTAGATTAGAACGGTTCGCCATTTAAAAATTTAATTTGAAATTTTCATTTCACATTATCTTTTTTTGATCAAGAAAGTACAACTCTTTATCTATCTAAATCTTATATAATGTATGGCTAATATTTGGGACCTAGAAATGAACACAATATGGGTCTCAACACATATAATAATTTTATATGAATGTATATAAACTGATTTACATTCAATCGTTTCTGTTTTTACTGTAATTAGTTATGTTCTGCGAAATACGCCAGAAGTCTAAATCGAATGGCAATATCTAGCGTCTTGTTACTCCAATCTACAATGATATTATTTATTTGCGTATGCTCTCCAGAGAAGAATATAATGTCACCGTTTGACATGATTTGTGGAATATATCTAGCCTCTTTCTTCGAGTCCCTTGTTACAAATTGCGCTGAAATGCATCATGGTACATGATGGTAAAATGTTTATTTTGTCTTAAATATTGGATATCAGAAGCCCATCTTTTCCTGGTAGGATCACAACATCAATGTTGATTTAAATTGACAAATAATTCGTGTTTTCAACGTGTAAGACTTTGGGTGATATTGAGTTAAGCAACTTAGCTACTTTAATATGCGCCCTTTAATGAAGGCTGACACAGTTGTGACGTCATAACTTTTTTCTGGGGATGGAATTCAAAAGTCTAATATATGGGTATACGTATAGTTTTACAAATAGTTTTACAAATTTCCTTATTCATTCAAAGCAGCCGTTTTCAGGTATTATTCTCTGCATATGTATACTCACTCTGTAAACACAGAATTCGAAAAACTTTCTTTATCGAAAGCTGACACATTAACTGTTATGGCGTCATAACTTTGTTTTAAGGATAAAATTCAAAATCTAATTCACCACATCGATGCAGAATTGTTCAATGATAAAGCATGTCAATCAGACTAGAATTGACTGAGTCTTGGGCTTTTTCGAAGAGGGTCACCCCAAGAACAAGAAGAACAGGGTGAGTGGCGGTTAGAGACCACTTCCTAGCCCAAGAAATGGAATACAAAACATTTTAAAAAATTGTCTTATTCAGTAGTGCAAGCATATTCCATAACTTAAGATTTTAAATAATCGCAAAGTTGTGATATTTTGGGATTTGTTATTTATATTGACTTCATATTTTGTTAGTAGGCCTACACATGACACCTCTAAGTAAAATCTGTCTTCAAAGAATGCGTCACAGTTTAATATAAGGTCTATATAGCCTAATGCAATGCTAATTGCTAGATTTTGAATGGTGTATTGAATAAAAGCATAAAGAGTATATATAAACTACTTGATGATAACCTAGGAAAAAGAACCCCACCGATTGACAAACCTATGGCTATTATCTTATCTACTCTATCTTTTATTAGTTAGAACATTTTTCACCTATATTGACAAAGGCTTTAAGTAAATATCATTATAGACATATCGGTAGATATAAAAGACCAATATTAATCACAAACCCTAATAATCAATACAGGTCAACAGTGAAATGAAATCATCTGGGTATTATATAGACTAAGTATGGATATCTGAGGATCTATAAATTCATATTTTATTTTTATGAAAAAGATGGAATCAAAGAATATAAATGAGCCTGAGGATGATTGTGATTCAAATTTTGACGAAAGTCTGGAATATCAAGTTTATGAAAGTGATTATAAGTATGCAGAACCTGCTCAATCAAAACCTTTTTTATTTCAACGTCTAGATTTTGAATCTTTAGTTGGTGGACTACCATCTTTTGTTCGAACTAATTACAAAAAAAACGGCCGGTATACACAAGATACTTTTATTTTACGTATAAACTATCTGAGAAGAAGAAAGATGATGGCCACAATAGATGGAAATAATGCTATTCGTCTGGAAGATGGAAAGCCTAAAATAACTAACTCTACCAGTTTACCATCCGGAAGTTAGTGTGAAACACTTGAAAATATTACCGGTAATGTTGTTATAAATAATTATGCATTCCATACATCAATCTGAAGAACGGATCAACATATTTGTGTAAAAACGTATTTTGTTTTTCTGGAAAAAAGGATAATTTTATTTTTCTGTTAATAGATTTTGTGGTGATTTTATACTCTGAATCATTGTAAACATGATATCCGAAAAACTTGTAATCTAGTTTATCTCAAAACATAACTGCTTTGTGAAATCTTTCATTCATTTGTCTTTTTCGAGCTTTTAGATTGCTTCAGAACATAATTAAAGATACATTATGTAAGATTTAGATAAGTAGCTGACCGTTTTTGCTATAACAGTGCAAAAATAGATAATGCAAAATGAATATATGTGCATTGATTGTTTATTATCGTAACCTGCACGGTACTGGTATATTCGAGACTTAGTCTCGCTTCTCCATTTTAAATTAAATCATTAAATGGCCAAATCGTTCTAATCTACTTAAAATCGGAGACATTCGTTGACAAAGAGAGTTGAGATTATATAACATTTAATGCCTAAAGAAAGACTTGCTATAGGCAGACTTAGCTCTTGAATAATATATATATTTAGGTGTTTTGGTTGTTATTTTGTAACTGCCAAAGATACTGTATTTTCTGTTATGTTAAGAGACTAGCACTTGGAAACAGGAGATGGTCCTACTATAGTTATTTACTGTAACTTAGGTAATGATGAGCAATCTCCTCTTTGAGAATTTCTGGGCACCCTATAGTTCAAGTGTTACGTTTAAATTAATGGGCGCATGGCTCTATTCTTTGGAACCTTACAATATAGACTAAAATGTGGTTTAAAAAGCACATAAAAGGGCGTATGGCTCTAGGCTATTTTTTGGAACCTTGAAATAGACAAAAATGGTTCTAGAAGCACATATTATATTCAATTTTTGAGAAAAAAAAATATTGTAATTTCTAATCAATTATGGTCGATGAAATACGTGAAGAGTTCAAATTGAACGGCAGTCAATTACGACTGCTTTGTGCATTCTATACGTTTTTTTTTTTTAAAAAACATATTATTTTGTCGCTTATGAACCAGCCTTTACTAATTACTTATATATTGTGTTGTATATGTTTTTATTTGTTCATTACAAAATGGCACCGAAAACCATAAGGTACACGACTCGTGTACTGATTATAATATGTTAATTGTGTCTTAAATATTGGATAATAGGCTCCTATAGCTTCACGGCAAGATAACGACATCAATATTGATTGAGTTGATCAATATTGAATTCTAATTCGTGTTTTTAATTTCGAATATTATGGAAAATTTTGAGTTGGTGACTTGGCTCCTGTAATGTATATGAATGTATATAAAGTGATTATATTTAATTTGGAAAAAAAGCATTGTAATTTCTAATCAATTATGTTCAGTGAAATACGTGAATAGATCAAATTGAACGACAGACGTTTACGCCTGGTTAGTCCATTCATGGACCTTATCATGGTCCATTCTACACGTTTATTATTATTTTGTCGTTTGTGAATCAGCCATTAATTACTTGCGCCCATAGCCATAGGATATGTTTGTCTTTGTTCATAATAGTGCAAAATGAATATGCTCAAAATTACATTCAAATTACTGAGCCAAGTTATTAGTATTATTACTGTCTTTTTTATTATTGTTTCTTGTATTAGCAATTGTTATTATATTCAGTATGTATTTAATGTTTTGTTCGTAGGCCTATTTGTATGCTGCCTCTAATGGGGTGTTTGGATACAATAAAAATAAAAATATTATCTACATGTAATCTAACTAATGATGCCAGAAACCGTAGAATACACAGACTCGATCGTGTATTGATTATAAAATGGTTATTATGTCTTATATATATTGGATATTAGGTAATCCTATATTTTCACAAGATTGATTGAAATGGACCAATAAATTGAATAAATTCTAATTCGCGTTTCTAATATTGAGTTAAGATGTTTATTGATGTCATAGCATTAACCCCACCAGCTCCATTAGGATGCAGTCCTCCAGCTGGAAAATTTCAATGTTTTATGAGAATCAGCGTGGGCACTTACTAGTTCTGTTATTGCCAGTGACATCCTAAACATATTATAAGGATTAAACAGAAGGTTCCAAAAGAAAGAAAATGGGGTTTAATAGATAAAAAAAAAACCGAATCTCTCGACTCTGTGTGTACTAGTAAGTTCCTTCTAGCAGAATCCGATATATGAATTACATCGGAATTCAGTAAACAAAACTGCCAATTTTTTCTTCAAAACTGTGATAGATGACTGTTATTTATTACGTTCTGTCACATCCAACAACATTTATTTTAAAGGCATATAGTCCTACCTTACACAGGTACAAAACATCTATATTCAATCGAGGCGTTAAAAGCTGGCTTTTCCTCACATTTTAAAACGGAACAGGTTTGACGTAAAGGCAGGGCCAAATGTATGTCGTGTACAACATCCATTCAAAATACGCGACGTAGACATTTTAAAATCGACGTAAATGACCGTTCCAATTCTATTAAAAACACCACTTGATTAACTTTATTGACAATATCTTCAGATAATGGAAAGTTGTATCATTACATTGGGTCTGGTGTTTACTTAGTCTTAATAGTATAAAAGTATCTTATTTAAGATTTTACATGCATTAATAAAGAAATTTTCCAGGTGAAACTAATGGCATCCAATCGTAGCCAAAAAACAAAAATAATAGTATATATCATCAACGTTTTTAGCTAAGTTCTCGCAGCACTTTTCTACACTGATGGCTAATGTAATGAAGACGGACATAATGCCATTCAATGCCACTGATTTTTCACTTTTTATTCTTCGAATTTCAACTGTGTGTACATTTGACCTTGTTTTTTCATTGGGCTCCTTCCAAACGACTAACGAAGACGCTTTACTTGCCAGGGCGACCTTCGGTTGCACGGATTTTCGCACTATAGTCGAACCATCTGCATGCGAATGGCATTTAGTTCAACCAGTGGTCCGTACGTAACTAACGTACGAAAATTAAATGGTAGCTGGCTTTTTTTTCGCACGAATACAGTGAATGGCCATTTTGCTCAGTAATCCCAGCCAGAATTTGGCTATTTTTTTAAAATTGCGTTAAAGTTTTAAATTTTTGTTTAGAAATGAAATAAATTATCTTTTAGTCAATCCCCACACTAAAAACATTAAAGGGATTATAACACTTTTGCTGGCTTGAAAGCTCCAGAAAATAAATAATATCTCTATCTAAGTACTAGATGTTTAAGTGTCCTACCTGTTGTGTAAATTATCCATTACATCCTATTTTACTTGTCCAGAGGGTTCGAAAATATTTTTAAATCGAACTTTCATTTGAAAAGGTTTACGTTAGACATTTCAAACCATTATGTTGAATTTTTCAAAAAATTTTAAATAAGGTGTGTTAAGATGAAATTTGTATCATCAATTAATTGAAATATTCTAAAATAGTACAATTTGTTGACCAGAATAAAGATTGGGACATATTATTCAGTTACAACAAGAGTGGTATTGAGCCTTTAACAGAATTGATTGTGTATATCTGAAATAGACACGACCGAAGCACAAAATAGTGCCAATAAGCCGACGTCAAATCTAGAGTTGTAGATGATGTTATTTTTGTGAAAAATCATTGGAAGAAGCGATAAGACGTTCTGTACGGATTATACAGTCCTAAAGGCTGCAAGAAGGCTATTGTTTACAATGTAACATTGTGTCTTGTAATGTTGATAATGATCATAATGATGGTGTTTACATTTGTTTGTTGATGTGACCTCATGACCTGTGACGTTTAGATAACGTCATATGGATATCATGGCTATTCACTGTGTCAGAGTCACTTCTCTGCAGGTAGGGTGAGTCTGTCGTTCAGATTGCCAGTGGTCGTGACCAGCCGTACCATGCGATAAAGCACGGTCGGGATGGTTCAAAGATGGCTGACAAAACTGACACTTGAGAATATTTTCTGAAAAAAATAATAAAATTGCCGATTGCCGTTGCGTTATTTACACCTTGGTCGGTATTATAGGGCCCATGTTAACGCCTGAAAGTTAGTGAATGGTCATTGTAGTATAGATGTTAAATATGATTATTTTTTTTTCGTCTTTTTTGATGAATTTGACAGATTAGAATCTTCTTAATCGAATATATATAGGCACACGACAAAAAACTGTACGTGTGAAATGATTTAGTGGACACTATTCTGGATCTATTGTTAAAATATATAAATCTATGGACCATGATGTCTCTCTGCCTTGTGAACCATAGTAACAAAAAATACAGGAAAATTAATAACATATAGATATATAATAAATTTTAAATGCAAATCATGTATATGCCAATCTCAGTGAGATCTCTTTGGTTGATATAAGAATTTGGTAATCCATTATACAGTAAGACAAATAGAATCCATTGACCAAATTTAGAATTGGTCATCAGTTGACACAAAATGATAAAAAATGGATATATGTACTAGAGTTTGCATTTCAACTTTTAATAATAAAAACTAAGTTAATGTGGACATTTAAAATGAAATGGGTTTTAATGTCCTACTGTTCTGCTCCAACTGGGCTAATGAAGACAGGGGCATATAAAAACTAAGATAATGCTTTGTTTAACATGTTTAATATAGGTACCATGAGATAACACAGGTTCACATATTGTTTTAGTAGGTACATATAGCACTTTAAACTCTTGTATTATTTCATACAATAACACAATATCTTCAAATATATAATGTACAATATCTCAATCATCAAATAATGTATATGACAAATGCCTATTAACTACATGTATATGGTATGTAATATGTATGTATAATATAATTAGTACTGTACTTTTTAAATAATACAGGCAGTAAACATATATCTATATACAGCCTATTACATATACAATAACAACACTCCCAATGAACATATTATCACTTCTACTTATTTACATTTAGAACCAAATTTACAAAATACACAAGCGTTCTATTTCACATATAACTACAAATGAGACAAATAAACATTCACCGCCTATTAAATTTTATTTTATATAATCGATTGTCTGACCTATGTACTACATAAACAATGTCTGTAATATCAACAAAGCATTAATAAAACAATCTCTCCAAAACTTGTTCCATCAAGCATAAACAATAAAAGGGTAACATGTATATCGAAAATTATACAATTTTATCCACAACAATATTTCTATTGCACTTTTCATGAGCATGGGCTTAAACCCTTCCTTTCTTAATAAACACTATACATACACATTATCCATATGTATACCCACCCGAAAACAAATGACATTTTGTATAAGTATGCAGTTCAAAGAAGACAGCATTTTACTTCGCTTTGTCAGAATATAATATACAATAAAGATACAGGTAAATTTCATTATCAGGTAAAATCTATCATCATAGATGATAATGGCTTTCGACAAAATTATTGTGGCAAATTCTCTGATTTTCTTTAGAAATTTGGATACTGTAACAGTATTTCATCCCCATGTAAGAAGTACGGCTTTAATTCACGAAATGTGTCTCAAGAACAATTGGTGCTTAGAGTATAATCAAAGTGTGGGTACCACTATAAACCTTTAGTTGTTTTTACCTTTATTTCAAATGAATGAAAACATTTAATGATGATTGCCATTTACAACAACATCCATAATCACTTGACCAATCCCCAATGTTCTTGTAACTAATTTTCTACACATGAACAAAATATTTGGTATATTTACTTGACAAAGTGAATCTTGTTGAATCCAAATCTAAATTCTTTCAAAATTAAGCCTCTAGTTCCAAAATTTGTGGGTTTACTGTTAAAAAAAAGGATATGCGCTCTGAATGACAAAATATATTATTGTATTTTACAAATTAAATGTATATTTTTTAAGTACCCATAATTAGAAATTGGTAGTTTATGTTTTTTTGTAATGTTCAGTAAGTTATCTAGAATATATTTACACTAAAATTTCCTGACCAAATTCAACGCATTATCCTAAATAATCATAAAAATTCAACAAATACAAACAGTTTTATCAATATTTTAGATGCAGCTAAAATATCTTTAAAATAACAAATTTCAGTTTACACCTTAGATGGAATAGCAATATATTCTAACTAAACACACTCATCCAATGTATTACCTAAAAAAAAAACTCTTTCCATGATTACCAGTACTTACATAACTAAAACAGATATACATTAATGGAATAGCCATTGCATTTGTTTATTTTAACTTATGATAAATAATGACATACAACAGTCATACTTATAAACCCTGGTTTAGAATGTATATATATTGTTCTTTAAGAATTCTTGTTTCTAAATTATATTACAAAAGGGCAAACATTAGTAGAAAGATTCCCATTTTACAGTTTATTTAATAATAAGGTTTAATTACTTCGGTCAAATTGAGACAAAGATAGAGTGTGCAGTGGAAGGTAGTATGTGTTGTTGTCAAGTCTTCTTTTAATTCCAATTGTCAAGGGTTCCTTTAAGGGCACGTTTATGTGTTCAGTTCCTCGTACCATCTGGATGACTGGGTACAGTTTTCTTGTCAACTGCACAGGCCAAAGCAATACATTTCAACTTCTGGTCTACAAACAATCTTAAAATGATGTACTATTAATAAGTGAAGGACTGAACTAAATGCTGTACAAGGTACACATCAGATCTTGAACCATAAGGGGAAAAGTGTGTAATATTGCCTCTAAGCCTAAGGACCACAATTGCCCTAAAAGTATCCTGGTAGGTTAAGAGTAATGGAACTCAAACAAGATATGTTTATGTTAGCTACTAATACTACATCTACAGATGAAATTTTACATTTGAAAGGGAAGAATAGTGGAAAACTTTTAAACACACTTGACTTCTGACAGGGAACTAATAACTCAAAATCTGCAATCCTTTAAACTATACTGACATATATTCATTTCAGGAAAAGATATTACAGTGGAAATACAATTCAATATGCAAAAGTAAAGCTTTATTAAATCTGGCTTTTACCTGCATTTCACCAATTTTCAAAGGAAACCAATGCATTATTGTACATTTGTTTCTTGTATCTAATTATAGATTCAAAGGAAATAGATTAACCTACAAGCTGTAATATACAGCAAAAACATAAATATATACATCTTAATTTATTTATAACTGGTTAATGTAATATGTTCTTAGTGTGTTAAAGCCATTACAATTAAATCTTTTTAAAGAAGGGAAAATATAACCCATAGAATAATTTTAAGAGTAGCCATTATAGTTGCATCCTACAGATAATTTCTTATTGAACATATAAAAACTGATTAAACGGATGGATATGAAACCTGCAATAACTGGTAATAAATACAGTTTTAATACTTGATTCAGTAGTGTTACAGGTTCATACTTTTTATCTCACAATACATGGGTCATCAGTCTCAGAGCTAAGCTGCCAGGTCTACTGTCGGACACTAGCCCGGCATTAAAATTTTTTAACTAGTCCGTAGTTGTACTAGTTATAAGCTTTAATATTAGTCTGCATGTAAAATAAAACTTGATAAATGGAATAACTGAAGAAGAGTAGGTGGGAATGCTGAAGACTGCACAAAATTCTCCCTCCTTGCACAATGCAAGTAGTCATAGTACATTAACATCAGGGATGCTATAATTTTGCCCGTCAAGGCATTTTTAGTTGGGGTTAATAGAGGCAAGAATTAGATCGCAAGAAGTCATTTGTCAGCTTCAGGAAATAACGTCAATAAGCTTCCATTCCCTCTAATCAACTTCAACTACAAATATTTTTATATTATATAGCATATGTTCTGAATACAAAAAAGTATGTGCTCCTGGGTATTTGTCACATTTAATTCCCGTATGGTATTCAAATGTATATCAATAATATTTCTACAAAATTATGTGTTTTTGTAACACATAGAATGAAATTGACCGACCTGTACCAGCTTCAAATCCATGTCAGTAATTTTACTCCAAAATTACGTGTCTTCATTTATACGGCAGAAAATGAAAGCATAGTTCGTGATGTCGAAACATTGTTTGTTTTCTTTATAGAACGGTATTTTAAAATTACTTTGGCGTGGCATAGACAAGTAAGCAATACAGGTACATGTAGGTATGGTCTCCATGTTATTGTTTTTTGCCCACGTGACATGTTTTTCCCCGCCAAAAAGAACCATTCTAGTTAACGATGTAGAAAGCAACGAGAATTCGCATGCAAGTGCCATTTTAGCCGCGAAGCTGTTTGTTAAACGAAGAAAAAATTAAATTGGTGTGTATTAGCTGGGATTGGAGAAAATAAATGTGGGATATTTTACAGTCTATTTCTTTATAAAACTAGTTTAATTCACAAACTATAAAAAAAATTAGAGTGAAAGGGCACTAGTCCAGGACTAATGGAGCTAAATTGTTCACTAGCCCGTAAGGTATTTTTGGTAGCCCAGGTGTCTGGCTAGTGGATTTTTACACCCCTGAGTCGATAACTGTAAAGAATATACTGTAATACTGTGAATATTTATGAAGATATGAATGGGTTGCTAGGCAATGAAACAAACATATGCCCACGGCAGCTAAGTTGTCCCAGCAGTCCACATAAAGTGTGCAGAATTTCAATTCTTTATTAATAGAGGGGTTTTCAGATGCAAGAATATGGGATACAAGAGTGTAAACAAGATTTTTCTGGGCATTCAAAGGCAATAAGCAAGTAATTATCAAAGATTGTTGAAAATTGAAAATTAACAGACATCTACATCTCATGAACTTGATCATTACAAATAAATTTCAAATCAATCAGATAACAAGATTTCTCAAAGCAATCAAGGATCTTAAGTTGCAAATAATTACACAATATTTAACATCCACTCGACACAAACTAGGTCATTTCAGGACTAACTCATGGTTCAATTTTATTTCAATAATTCGCTTGCGCGTAGGGGTCTTTGGCAGTGGGAGGAAACCGGAGGACCTGGAGAAAACCTACGAGGTTGGAACAGGTAAAAAGAATTTTACAAAGGATTTGTTTGTGTTCAGAACATACCCTACTAGAATAAGCAACATAAATGAAACCGTACTATGGTGTTATTCATTTGATAGTTTCAACATAAAGCTCTGATATAGCAGTATGAGCTAACACATACGAAATTAGTAAGCTTATCAAATAAATATGTATTAAGTTTAAAAGATTTTGAACAAAAATCTGTCTCTATAACTATATCTGTCTTGAACATAAACTCATACAATTTTGTGGCCTTTGGATGAAAAACAAACTGTGAGATCTGTATTTGACTCATGAACATTGCTACATGAATTCTTCTTCACTTACACAAACAAATTTCATAATATAAATGCTATAATAAACTATTTGGATGTTGTGAAGGCAACCAAGACATCTGTTAACAAGCATTCTGAAAGTAGTGCTGAGGCAACACATTTCTCTACCAAGTTGCAAAAAATTTTACAATTCCTGCATTTATAAGAGATTGAAATTATGAATACACTTCTGCGAAAATATAATCCAGATACTATAGATGAATAAAATCAGTAAAACGAAATTTTCACTGAATTGGTCTGTAACCCTAATCAAATACTGGTATGTTTAAGTTAATTTTAAGTCATTAAAGGACCATAATTCAGTAAATATAAAAGATTCCCACTGGATCTGTAGGTTTGCTTCAACCAAGCTAAATCAAAATAATTCCAGGACACAAAAAGGACAGGAGGAGGAATGGAGAGAAAATCCATCATTCAATGGTAGGGGATTAATAAGCCCTTTGGTCTAATATATAGGTTAAACAGTATTGTTAATTTAGTCTTAATCAGTGGACCCAATCTATTACCGTTAAAGGGCACCGGGCATTATCAGTGGACCCAAATTATCAGTGTTTAGAGTGACGGGCCAGTATTTAAGGTCTACAGCTCTTTCAATGCATATTTAAACAACAAAATTGTAGTCTATATTCTCTATCATCAGGACGTCAATTATTTAATGGCACTCAAGTTTAGCCAAGCTACAGACATACATAGCATTTTCCAAATTTTATTGTAGAAAGCTCCACAACATTATTATGTTGCTAACAGATGTCTTGGTGACCTTATCATTGTTTACTGGAAAATTGATAATTAAACATTAAGTTAGTAAATTTGCAATGCATATACTTTCATCTGATGTGTCCAAAATGTCTTCTATGTCATCTTGATATATTATATTTACTAAGAGCACACAACATTAGTGACTAGACACATAACATAGTCCATTATTTAATTCTACAACATTTCACAAGCCACATTCACACAAACATACACTACACAAAAACTTAGCACATACATACAAACATACACTACACAAAAAATAACATACTCTATGTACACAAAAACACAGCATAAAAACTCACTAGTAATCATTAACAATACACAATAATGTTCCGTCCACTTATTGAAAAAAAAAACCTTCACACAAACAACTTGTTCTTTTCTTCTCCTCCTAGGCACTTTCTCGCTCTTCCATTCTACATATACAATATATACAGTAGTGATTACTGTAAACAAGGAATGAAATTCTCGTACATTACTTTTTCATACAAATAATTTGATTCACAATTTGTCTTAACATATCACATCCAAGCCAACTATAAAAAAGGCTCACTTCTAGCTACTCTGTTTCCGTGAATGAACAATTTTGTAAGTTCGAGGTGGAATTTCCGGAAGTCCAGGGGGATCATCCCCATTGATATCAAAGATCAAATTAGAAGGATATCCTCGTTCTGAATTGTGACGTGGAAGTGTTGAGCTTGTTGACGGTGGCATAACAGGTCGCGGTTGATGAGAGATGCTTTGTGATCTCGGTAATGTACTAAAAACAGAGTCTCGTGACTTAAAAGAATCCCTCCTAGGGGGAACAGGTGGAGGTCTTTCTTCATCGTGACGAGGAGGGGGAATGGGTGGATTATCAGATAGGGATAATCCTGATAAAGAACATTCAGAGTCATTGTGTTTACGTCTGGGAGGAAGTGGTGGTGGTGTTAACACATGTTTCTCTAAAGCATTATCCAACTCTAAACCATATCCAAATTCTGAAATATAGTTCAAAATATATAACTTTAATAACTACCCCCAAAAAATAATATTCAATGTTTTAACATTTAAAGGAGCAGTAGTCCCAGATATATTTGAGTGAATAAAACTGTTTATTCAGCGTGAAAGACCCTCTAAACCTTTATTCCAGTTCTGTGCAACTATCTGAAGCTCTGAAATATTTTAAGAAATACAGACTTTCAGTGTCCATATGGGGTTAGTCGTAAGTTCCCAAACTCCATGGGGTGTAAATGACTTGAAATACTTGCCAAAGTTATAGTCACCATAATTAAGTAACTTATATGAATACATAACCATGCTAAGCAAATTCCCGAATGAATTCACTAGACAAAGTATAAAGGCTATACTATCACATTTTGATGTTTATTATATAAATAGTTAAAGATGCATTATGTAAGAGCTAAATTTGCCTATTGCAGGTCTTTTTTCTGGTTTCAAATGTTATAAACAGTATTTAGACATTTATTCACATGAATCGCCCATACTTAACTCTCTACACCATCAGATGGCCACAATATTACCGGTCAGTGGATTAAGAAAAGTCTGCAAATATCTTTGTTAGGCGATAAAATCGAAAATCGCAACTACATTTATTATTGTAGCAATTTTACCTGACAATCAAGACTATTTACATTGTGTCATGTCAAAATTTTATAAATTAATGACTTCACTCAGAATAAATTAATTTGATTGAAATTTTCAAGTATTCATTTTTCATTATATATTTCTAAACTATTATAGCAAGAACGGTTAGCTCTTTATCTAAATCTTACATAATGCATCTTTAAACCAATTAAATTCAGTAACTGAGAAACTATCAACTGCTGTTCTGTATTCTATAAGATATCATATTTAAGATAATAATTTACCTGATAAGATACTTGTATCATTAGAAAAGTTTGTAAGAACACTATGTGTACTGCCCATTAATGTACTAGTACTACTAGCTAGAGTACTCATACTACCCAAATGACTGCCACTGAAAAGTGTAGGGGTGAGGGGGGTGCTCGGAGTTGGTGGGGTGGCACAAGATGGTGAAGAGGAATCATCATCTTCTGAGTTCTTTGGTACGTTAAAAGGAAAAGTGGTTGGCTGGCTTGATCTGGCCGAACTCTGTCTATGACCAGATAATGGTTTCACACCTGGTGATTTTAATGAGAAATCTAGGAACTTCTTTGGCTGGTAAATATAAACAACATTACAATTGATCAGTTTATATACAAGAAAATCTTTACAACTGTCACTTATATAATATTAATGATATAACTTTATTATATGTATACATGTGTTGTGATATGATTCAAATTGGGATACATATTCAGGTCAACAATTTTAACAATGAAAACCCCAACAACTTAGAGTAATGTATTCTAATGCAAGCAGGTAAGCAGAATTTAAATATTCTGTTGCCATGTAATGCGAATGTATCAGTCAAATCTTAGTTTTTTTATACCAGAAATCTGTTAAATTTACAGAATAACTCGCAATAAATTTAATGTGTATTGCTATTTGCACCCTATTTCTCATACATATGATTCTCATTTGACACAATTTTTGTCATTTTTTGGATATATTACGTATGGAAAAGAGTTAAATTAAAACCACCTGTTTCTATGAAATATAAAAACTAGAGAATTCTAGCCAAAATGTTGTTTAGTAACAAACAGTAATTATATTCCATAGAATTGTGTCTTGTGTATTTTCAGTTCAAGTACTAAATGCTTATGAAACATTTAAAGCAATATTTCATATTAAAGCATAATTTAACCCTTTTTTTCTAAATATTGACATCTGTTGTGTATAGAAATTATTGTTGTTTTGTCTATTAAAAACTTACATATTTTACTGCCTGCTTTGAACCCCGTGGCTCTATTTCTAATGATTTTGCATAAAGATAATCATTGAAATCTTTTTCACATCTATCTTCTAATGGATTCAACTTTTCAAAAAATTCCTGAAACATACAAAATAATCCATGTTTACTACTAAATTTAAAGTTTTATAATCTGGTAGTCGTAATATCAATATACTGACTGAACAATAAAATGAGGGAAATGTGTTCCAGATATGAACTAACCACAGCAATCTGTATTAGTCATACACAGTCATGGGATTTCGTCTGTATATTCCGGACATGTTCTAAATTGTCCGACCAGGAATATGCCAAATCGGACATCAAGATATAGTGAATAATATTCAAAATTACATAATTAATACTGCCTATACACCTACCTTGATTAACTAGTTAATCTGCTTTGACTGGCTGACTTAATCCTTTATCGGACAATTCATCAATCCAATCCTAAACGGAAGTCATTGTTTCTCCTTTGCCGGACTATGTATCAATCCAATAAGATTTTTTGTACAATCAAGGGCCATAATTCAGGAAGTTACGATCCGACAATATGCACTAATATCGAAAGGAACCAAGATCTTTGGGTTATAAACAAGCATTTCAAGTTTCATCAAAATCAGATGAAAATTGTGACCTCTTGAGTGCTCACAAGCTAAAAAAATGATTTTTGCGTACAGTCAGGGGCCATAATCCATGAAGTTTTGATCCGATACATGCCAATATCAAAAGGATCCAAAGTCTTTTGGAGATAAACCTATATTTCAAGTTTCGTCAAAATCAAATAAGAACACCTGTAGAGTGTCCACAAACAAATTATGGACAGACGGCATAATATGTCCACATGAAAATGTGAGTGTATAAAAAATAAACTATTAAGGCTGAGAAATTTCTAATTAGGAAAAAAAAAGGCACAACTAACAGGTTAATGTGCGTACAAAGTACAGAAAGATTGTAATGAACGTTTTTTTATGACACACTCTGGAATATTCTTCACTAACTTCGTTCGGATTGGGGTAACTAACATTACAAATGCCCACAAGCAACATTCTAGCCCATGTGAGCTTTAAAATCACTGTAAACAAATCTTGCAAAGAAAGTTTGACAAAAATCCACTAAAAAGAACTCTGTCCAGAGCTTTACCACAGAAAAATAACCCTGCAAATGCGCTTGAAATTGCAATTTGAAAATTGATAGATTTCTTCCTTATTTATATCCTTAATGAAAGATAGGTTGCCAGGCAACAAAACATACGCCCACAGCAGCTAAATCGTCCGAGCAGTCGACAAGGGTTGTCACATATTTATTCTTTTGTGGGGAATTTAATAGACAATTTCATACAGATGACATTATAATTTTCGTTGTTTGAAGGTTCACAAGGTTCTAAAAACTAAAACAAGGGCTGTAACTCAGGAAGCCATATACAGAAATTGTTCAAATTCGACAAGCTTTTTCGTTTTACTAATTCAAATAATACATATAAATTTCATACAGATCGGATGATAACTTTTGTCGTTCGTAAGTTCACAAAGTTCAACAAAGTAAATCAAGGGCCATAACTCTAGACATAATTGACGGAAATTGCTGACATTCAATAAGCTTGTTAGTCTTCATTTCGCTAATTTAGGTGATAACTGGAACTCAATAGGCTTGGTCGTTTTACTAATTTAAATGATACATATAAATTTCATACAGATCGGATAATAACTTTTGTCGTTAGAGCATTTACAAGGTACAACAAAGTCAAACAAGGGCCATAACTCACAGCGTAATTAACGTAAATTGCTGAAATTCAATAGGCTTCTTCGTTTCACTAATTTAAATGATGCATATCAATTTCAAACAGAGCGTTCACAACAAAGTGAAACAAGGGCCATAACTCTAGATGTAATTAACGGAAATTGCTGAAATTCAATAGGCTTCTTTGTTTTACTAATTTAAATGATGCATGTAAATTTCATACAGATCGGTTGATAACTTTTGTCGTTAAAGCGTTCACAATATGTAGCACCATGAGTCTTTCAGTCTGACGTGGAGAGCGTCTATGGGAAACCGGTCGCCACATCCTACGTAGAACCCATGCATCTTTTCTTACTACATATTTCTGTAGCCTTGTGATCGTCTAGAATTTGTCTCTAGCTGTCTTTACTTCTGCTTCACGTTGTGTATTTACTTCTCACAGTTTCTTAAGACGTCTGTCTTACCAGGAATAACAATGCGACAGTTTGCTTCTACATATTTTATATATATATATATATATAGCTGAATACAGGTATACAAGCATAGCACAAATTACAATACTATATAGCTAAAACCACTTCTCCACCCTATCCAGCCTCTCGGCTGTCTAGGAACTCAGATGTACCCTCGATCTCTGGAATCTAATGCAAGTCTGACTTACAGGGTTCCCCGGTTTCTTTTAAAGGTATATAAATATCATGCACCATAAAGCGTGATCATGGCCCTGAACTTGTGTAATTAACAAAATGATTGGTTACTTTAAGCTAAATGATGCAATTAGAATAATTCCACTCACGTGTAATTCGGTGGTAAATGAGTGACATATGTTTTCGATAAATCGCTCTTTTTTATGTGTCAACTGTCAATTACAGACTAAGTTGACTTAAGTATTTTAAGTACATATCACATATTATGCGAATATGTTATTTCTCGAGCAAAAATTCTACTAAAAGTATTACAAAGGTGCAACAAAGTGAAACAAGGGCCATAACTCCAGAAGAAATTAACGGAAGTTATTAAAATTAAATAGGATTCTTCATCTCCCTAATGCAAACAACATATATCAATTTCAAAACAATCAGATGATAAATGTAGTCTGTAGAGTGTTCACAAGAAATTGTGGACGATGGAAGGACGGACTGACGGACGGGGGCGACGGCAATATACGACCACATTTCCATGTGGGCATTTAAAAATCACACAAGAGTCTAAAAAAAAAATTCTACTAAGAATCCTGTATCAGAATACATCATTTCATAAGTCTGAACTGTAATAGAGAGGCAGGGTTCATCCTTATGACCAGGTGAAGCATAAACAGGGATTCGGGACACAAGAAATTGTGAATGGCCAACGGAGACAAACAATATACATTCACATTAAACATGTATTTAAAAAGTAACGTAATAACATGTACTTACTCTGATAGAATTCTCTACACTTAAACAGTAAGGCTGATTTTGATATTGCTGAATTTCTGCAGTTATTTCTGCCACTTTTCGTCTTTTACTAAAATTAATCAGACCTTTTGGTCGATTGGGTAAAAAGTCTGGATTGCCCTCCTCTGTTAGTAAAATATTGGTCAGGTACATTCCTGTTAAAAAAATGTAAATATTATTGGAAGATGTTTGAAATATTCTTTTATAAGAAAAATTTACTCTTCTTTTCTAGCCATATTTCTTTTTAGATCAAATATGGTACAAAAAGCCAGATCATTCAAATATATTTCAAATATTGTACAATTTAATGTGAAGACTGTTGTTATTATGTAACTTGATGTAGAAAGGTCTGGTTTGTATAAAAAGAGATCTCACAACTATAAATTTATTATTACTATATTTGTCTATGAGGGATAAAGATGGTTTTCTAAAATCAATAGAAACTTTTGTAAACATAAAATGACTATAAATCAATGGCTTTGAATAATCTTTGTACCAAAATGTTTTTCCCTTACAGTACTTTTAATTGTGTATGGTCTTAAACTCTATCTTTAATATTAATACTGCACGTTGGGGCTTTAATAAGCAGAGCATCACAAAAGATTCCAAGTTAAACAGATATAAACAAGATGACTCATTAACATCCCAACTCCTCGAACAGGGATAGTCAAACACAAAAACTATTCAATTGTAAAATCTTTAATAAGTAAATCAGGTCAATAAAATAAAATATTAAATTAACATTCTATTTCCATAAACCCAAGGGAGTGACACTTACCTAAAAAGGGAACACATGGTGGGTTTATTGACCGGAGCTTTTCTGTGTATTTTTTGAAATGATCTGAATTTAATTCTTTGGCTTCATCAAAAGATTTGTAGAGTTTATGGGGTAATTCCTGTAAAAGAAAAGAATGCGATTAAAGATCATCTGCTTGACATGATATTTATATGTGAATTATATGGAAATTTCTGAAACCTCAGGAATAAAATTTGTCATCATTTGTAATGTACACATTCTGATCAAATCTGAATATTTTGAAAATTGATTATTTTATAAAGACATTACTTACCTTAAATGTGTGTTCAAGTCTATAAACTGGTGCTGAGTTCATAGCACTAACAACCTCTAATACACCGTTGAAATTGTTGAGTTCTTGAAAGACCAACATTATTTCTAGAATACGGGACATAACAGCTACCCTTTCCTCTAGATTATCTGTTTCTATAATACATTTCTCTAACCAGAATGTAAACTGTAATAAATTATAATAAATCATCACTTGGGCCGGCCATTGCTATCTTTGAGAATGACTCACATAATGATTGGCAACGCCAGTGCTAGTTTTTTCATTTTCTTATATTAAAAGTGTACTATACATGGTGCTGATATTAAACCAGCGGTTGCCAGGCAAGATACGCCACATTTTGCAAGAGATGGATAGAGAACTAGCTAAAAACAAAAGCGATTTTTCGTACAATCAGGGGTTATTATCTAGAAAGTTATGGTCTGAAATGCGCAAATATCGAAAGGGACTGAGATCTTTCGGATATAAAGATATATTTTAAGTTTCACCAAAATCGGATAAAAATTATGACCTCTAGAGGGTCAACAACCTTTGTATTACATACTTTTACACACTTTGCTTACAAAGAGCGGCCATTTTGTTGGGCAGTTCGTTTTGATTTCCCCCATCATTATGGTGGAATAGTGATATATTTAAACGTTTTTAAAAATCGGATAAAAAATTGTCACCTCTAGAGAATCCACAATCAGGCGTCGTAATCCAGGAAGTTATGGTCTGATATGCGAAAATAGCGAAAGGAACCAAGATCTTTGGGTTATAAACATGCATTTCAAGTTTCATCAAAATCAGATGAAAATTGTGACCTCTATAGTGTCCACTATCTAAAAACATAATTTTTCGTACAATCAGGGGCTATAATCCATGAATTTATGGTCCGATACTTGCCAATATCCAAGGGAACCGAAATCTTTGGGAGATAGACTTTTATTTCAAGTTTTGTCAAAATCGGATAAAAATTGTGACCTGTAGTGTGTCCACAAACATATTGTGGATGGACAGACATACAGACTGACGTCCAGGGGCGGCAACAATATACGTCCACATGAAAATGTGGGCGTATAAAAACATCTCTTTGAGTATGTCAAAAGATATGCTTTTGTTAAAAAAATATATTTTCCCTGTTATTTTGGGTGTTTTCCAATCAATGTTTAAGTATTTGGAATCACGATTATCAAGAAATAATATATCATTGACTACTAGGTCTGACATTTCACATTAAGAAAGTTCATCCAGTATAAAACTATTAGCCACAATTAAAATTAAAGTTATTTCACTAATCATTTGCAAATTACTGGTCCTTTTTCAATAATGTCCTTTAATTATTTGGACATGAAATGTAGTCAAGAAGATTACACACCATAGTAGAGAAATGTATCATCTTTAGTAGATTAGGTGAGGTTTTATCTTTATTTTTCTTGATCCATACACTACCAACTAATTCTGAAGGTTGTACAGCTCTATATAGATCAAACTCTAATAACGTTACTTGGCGAGCTATTTCTATTGGATGTAACTGAAAAATATAATTTACAAATCACATTATAATGTCATCTTACAATATTAAAGTTTTAGATTTCTTTTTTTGTTCCCTTGAAATTCACAAGAACTCAAAAACATGCCTCTACCACATGGAGTACAATACACAATTATGTTTGTAAATATTGTATTTATATCACCTTCCCATCAAGCATAAGATGATACAGATTGCTTTTTGTATTCTGATGCAGGCAACAAATCTGTAGCACTTTTAGCGCAAGACTTTATCAATAGATACAACCATTGATGCTCTTTTGCGTGTACATGTATGCCGACTAGGAATATGCCGAATCGGAAATCAAGATATGGTGAATAATATTCAAAATTCCAAAATTAATTGACTGTACGGAATGTGTAACTAACTATTACTCATCTTGATTATCGTTGACAATAGGCAGGATTGATTGGGTAATTACTTGATAAACCCATTTATAGTGTTGTGTCGGACATTTTAATCCCCTTGATTAAGGTAGTCAAAAATCAATCAATAAACTTGTAAGCTAACCTTTAACAGTCATTCAGGTCGCGATTTTTGTAATTAGTAAGAACGGTAATTTTGAAAATACTGTAAGCTCGATAATTATTCACAATACAATTTTTATCTGTAACCATTTCCCTTCGTAGGAATTGACCACCCATTCCTAACTGGCACCCAATATTTTAATCCTTTTCGATTCACTGGACAACAAAATATTCTGTAGGCTCTTATCATATGAAAGATGTATCCATCCGATGCGCGCACTTGTTATTAGATAATACACACCATTTTAATTTTTCTCCGTTTATCCACCTACTTCACGACTAAAATGTCACTTCCTGCGAGCTTGCATTGCTTTCTACAAACCTAACTAGGATGTTTCATTTTGGCGGAAAATATGTGTCATGTGACAAATAACAATAACATGGTGAACATGACTGCATTAATACGGGTGTTGATGCTACCCGGATGAAATTTTAAAATATCATTTTGTAAAAAAGACAAACGATGTTTCGACATCATGATCAATTGCCTTCATATTCTGTCGTAAAAATGAAGACACGTAATTTTGGAGGAATGTTTTGGCGTGAATATGAAGCAGGTACAGGTCGGCATGCTTTCTTTCTATCGAAATATGAAAACACCTAATTTTGTAGGAATATTACTGACATAAATTTTAATACTGTACGGGAATTAAATATGAAAAACAGTGTGGTGCACCCATTTTTAATATATGTTATTTTGTTCACACGTGAATTTTTAGTGTAGTCAGAATCCGTCTGACAACAATAAGGGTTATGCGTCTTTATTTTCGGTAAATATGTTTGACAAGAAATTTTTTGAAATAGCAACACTGAACACGACCAAATATAAGTATCTCACTAAATATCTCTGAATGGGATGTGATTTGTTTTTCGAGGGTCCTAATAAAAAGATCATTGAATATCAAGGAACAACAATGTAGCAAATGTGTATACAAGTATGGTTTTGAATACATTTTACTTTGCTTGTTCTTACAAAAATATAGTTTTTCATTCTTTAATTTTCTCAATTCTTTTCAATTTTCAAAAATTCTGAGTTCGTGCAAAAGTATTACCTCTTGTGATTTTGAGGACTGAGTTTGCACAATTTGTAATGCTCAGTTTTTAAAGAAAACACTTTTTCTATGGGTTTTGTATATATAGAATTTGATGTAGTTAAAGTCCAGGGAGAGCAGTTCTGGAATTCAAAGTTATCACGTATTAATGGAATTGAATTATCTCTTACCTTCATCAAGTCAAATTCTTCAGGTTTTTGTGTTAAATGCCATTCAATTGCTGGTAATTCTGTTTGATATGTTATTTCTCTCTCTGTATTAGAACTTTCTTGCTGTAATACCAAATATATATATATTTATTTTCAAACCTTAATTTGGGGTTGAATATTGATATACAAAATGAACAAAACTCCATAAAATCCACCTGCACAGTAAATTTGTAAAACTTCAAGAAAATTTGTTAATAAAAATGATAATGACAATTTACTTCTCCTAAAATACAAATATTATACTAACCCTTCGACTAACAACTTTGTTGATCGACTCTGCCATTTTCTTCATTGCCTTTCCCTTGATAGTGCTGAGAAATCGCTCTAACTTGGTTAGAAGTGCATCATCTCTCTCAAAATCATAGAAATGTTGATCAACCCAGTGTTTTAATACATTCACAACTCTACAAATATAAAATAATATTCATGATCTTTAAGTTAATTGTTAAACACTGCCACCGTGTGTCCATTTGTATATCAGTGTATGCTGTTGCATAATGAATATAGGGACAATGCTAACACTAGTCCTTATCCATTATCCAGTCATTATCTTATAATCAGAGTAACATGTCATTCATTATATTTGTAGTTGTCTAAGGTTTTTGACATCAAATATATCTTTTTATACCTTGGATATATATTTCATTCAGTGTTTATATATTTAGGATAACAACAGTGAAGGAAATATATTGTTAATTTCATGAAATCTTTTGGCATTCAAATTGGTTTACAGAATTGTTTTTTCTTTTTATGCTCTGCCTAGTTCAACACAAATCAATCTGAACTGGAATGAAAATTAGTTCATTAAGATCAAATAAAAATGCAAACCTGAATTGAATGGGTTTAACATATTCTTTACGAAATCGTTTTAAGTCATCTCTAGTTTTTAGACTTGGATCTTTCTGATGATCAACACCAATATCATCTTGCTGTACTACTATATCTGGTATCTCGAACCTATAATAATAATATATACAGTAGATATATCATATTCTTAGTATAAATACATTTCACCATTTCTAGCTCCCATCTCCATATTATTTTGTTTTTATCTCAAGTTTAACTCAAATTGCAATTACTAAACATATTATAATATTAAAATATAATAATCAAATCAAAATGATATCAATATTTTTCTTTAACATAATACACAAATAATATTTAGATTACAATTCAAATATATTCTTCAAGTTCAAACTTAGGTAAAATAGTGATCATAAAATAAATACAAATTAGTAAGTGGCACAGGGTGTATTTGAATGTGGGAGGCATAACCTATACACATGGTGGATTTAACTATGTCAGGAATAAAGGAGATTGAATCAAATGTGAATTTGCATATTCAATGTCGTAGTTGGAATATCTTATTTTAAAGCTGGACATCTCGTTACTTCTTGTTATTAAAGAGACAGTCACAGTGAATAAATAAATGAATCAGTTTATCAACCTGAGGGTCAGTGTTCTAAATTTAGAAAATATACTACATTGTATAAAACAATCAATAATAAATATAGATGAATTTACATAAACTCTAGCATGTTTTCAGATCCCATAACATTTTGATATTGAGTAAATATTGTTAAAAAATATAGATGACTTACCGTTCTATAAGTAAATCAAGTAGTTCATGTGGGCTACAAAATGATCTATAAGTAGTAAGGAATGTCCGCACAAATTTAGGATCAGCATACATATGATATGTGAGACGTTCTATCAATTTAATTAGTAGTCCACCTTTTATCAGTGGACTTTCTATTGATGGATCTTGGTTCTCTTCAAATACTATGTTTTCTTCCGAGTTCTCTTCAGCAAATCTGTATAAATATAGATTCATATTCTGACCACTTTTCATAACCTGAGGTTTGTTGATCACCTTATTGTATTTAAATGTCATATGTAGTTATGTACGCTTATCATAAACTACCAATAATGTATCATTAGAAAACTGTAGCTAAGAAAAACTGATCAAATACATTATTGTTGGTTTGTGTTATAAATATATTATTTATGGAAAAATTCCATTAAATGCTAAAATGTCTGAATATTTTCACACGTAATATAAACCAACAAAGCTTTGCATACACTGGTCAGCTTCACTGGTACCAGCGCTTTACATTATCAATTTACCTCTGTTGAACATTAATTTGAACTAACCTATATTGTTGTGGTGTAGGAAGACACAATGGATGTTGTTTTTCTTCTTCTCTCAATTTACCATCTAGAGCTCTTTCTAACATACTGAAATATAATCAAAATATTACAAATCTAGGACAAAGTTGTTTAGAATTCCTACCATCACCACATAAACATTTATGCAATATATTATATATCCCATTTAAATTAAAATCAGATATTAAAATATAAAGATAGGTTGCCAGGCAATGAAACATACGCCCACAGCAGCTAAATTGTTCGGGCAGTCAACAAGAGTTGTCGCATATTTTTACTTTTGTCAGTAATGAAACATTTATAATAAAATAAAATCTGATTAAGAGTAACAACTCATTAAATAATTATCAGAAAATCATTAGAATTTGTTTGGCCCATGCTAACGTTTAGTATCCAAATCATTTAATATCATGGATTTAGCTGTTCAAGTTATTAAAAATCATTGAAAATCAATATACAGAACCTTGTTTATAAACTGATTTTGATAAAACTTTCAGAATATGCACCAAATGACTCAATTTATCGTTTGTCATTGACATTTTACCTGATTTCAAAGTCTTACACAATTTAAAAAGCTTCATAAAGTGTTAATACTGTTGAAATTTAAATCAATTTTCTGTCATGCAAAGGACAATCGAAGTGGTTATTTCTGTAATCCAATTTAAATATTTTTTTGATAACGTAAGTGATGTCATTATGTCAAGTCTTCGTTCCATAACTGGAACTGATATTACTGGATTTATTGGCTAATTCTGCATCTATTTTATTACACAGGTGCAATGCTCAAGTGGAAATCTGTTTAACGTTTCCATTGGTATGGGAAGTCAGGTCAGTTCAAGGGTAACGTGGCATCAGTGAAACCTGTTATTACTGCATCGCAGTTCTAGTTATATTTAACTTTTGTTTTGCTCTCTGCTGCTTCATAGATGTCTCTCACAGTTCTGTGTATACCTAACCTGAAGCTCGACTAATTAGATCATTTTATTGGCTAATTTTTTACATTAAAGCGAACACTTTATCTAAAAAAAAAAGGTTTTCCTACTGTCAAAAAGACTAATAAAACAAAATTTTAACCATACAAATGAAAACAAAATAGGGCCTGTGTTTTAATCAGATTGTTTAACAGACCAATAGCATAAATTTTGAATGATACTAAAACACTGAAATCTGAACAACAGTAGAGCAAAGGAATAAAGTACAGTAAAATGTGGCTATGACAGAATACCTTCTGGTCTGTAATGATATTAAAGCTGCCATCCAGTTAGCTTTATCTTCAGCATTTTTAGCTGTCAATATTACACCAGGATGATCACGTGGATGTAACTCAATTACATGTTTTAAATCTACAAAAATAAACATTATTTTCAATGTATACACAAGAAAGATTAGGTCGTTTTGAGAAAATGGTGTTTGAAATTTATCCTCTTAAAAAGTGAGAGAATTCTTAAATATTTCTCTGAAATATCAGTGTACCAATGGCAACGATACACTCTTGTCACTTAAGATATTATCAATTGGGCATGATGAGGGTGTGGGTACTTAAGACGGTTCATTTAAAATTAATACCAGAATGAACATAAAATAGCTAACTAATTCTGAACACATGGCAGATCTTATCTGTAAGTGTAAATTAGAAACAAAAAGACAAAATGAAATAATAGAATAGAAATGGAATGGAGTTGAACACATTAGGGTCATTTTGAGACTAAAAAAAGTTATTTTTTTCTGTGGTCACATGTTCCATGATATGTTCAAGTAAGAGAATTTTATTCAGAGAGTGATGTTTCTGGCTTCTCTGCATAGATTACCAACTGTCAAGGTCTTTTCTGTGCACACCAATTTTTACATAGGTGGACCTTGATTTTTGTCCTTTCCTAACAAGAGGTTACTGGTAACTTTTTGGAAGTTTTTACCAATCCCTTTGTATATTTATTGTGCAATAATATATATACTATTCAAAAAAAGTAGGGGATATTTGATTTTGGGGGCATAATACTAAAATATGCAAATGACTACGAAAAAAGTCACTACAGAACCTAACAGAAGAAACATTTCCAGTCACATGTGACGCCCAAACGCACCAATAGCTACCGCATGGAATGCAGGTGATGCTTGGGATCATCATGGGGGTCCAACCCAAGATTTGCACGACTCTGACTTTGAATGTTACAGTCATTGTGGCATTGAATTCCAGGGTGGAAACATCAGTTTAATTGTTTTAGTGACCAGAAAACAAATTTTGATATGCGTCGGCTTACCCAAAATGAAAGGTTACGTGCCCTTGGCATGCTACAGATCGGCACAACACAGGCGGTTGTGGCGCGGACGATAAATGTTTCTCAGTCTGTCATAAGCAGGCTATGGTCCAGATACCGTGATACACAATCTGTACAGGACAGACCACGCTCAGGTCGACCAAGGGCGACAACTCAAGCCCAGGATCGATTTATCCGTACCTTGGCCATGAGAAATCGTGTCATCACATCAAATCAGATCAGCGCTCGTCTTCAAACAGACACTGGTGTGAGAGTGAGTGGCCAGACGATTCGGAATCGACTGCATAGGGGTCACCTTCGCGCCCGTCGTCCACTGAGTCCCGACCTCTCCCCCATCGAGCATGTCTGGGACATGCTTGGACAGAGGTTACGTCAACGTCAACAACGTCCTGCCAATGTCCAAGAACTTGCTGCTGCGTTGCAACAGGAATGGGACAATCTGGACCAAAATGACCTTAGACGTCTCATTAGGAGTATGCCACGTCGGATCAATGCTTGTTTGGCAAACAGAGGAGGATTTACCCGTTACTGACTTGGTTGTGATGCTGTGGTAACTTTGCTGTTTGACCCCGGGTATCATTTTACCCTTATAATGGTCAGTCTGTGCCTTACTTAGTCTAACGATCATTTGGAATAAATCGATGAATGTGAACTTCATTTCATTTTGTCATTTGTTTCTTCGTCAGTTTCATTAGGTGACTTTAATAACACTTAAAAATCAAATATCCCCTACTTTTTTTGAATAGTATATTAAGAAGGCACACTTTCTTTGTTAGCCCTACAGAAGACGAAATATAGATATAATTTAGTAAGACTGACTACATAACTTACCGTCTGTATCTTCTCTGTCTTTTATTTCAACCTTACGTACATAATATTTCTCTTTTAGTTTATATTCGGATATAGAACCAGTCACTGATGATCGTCTATTGTGTTTACATAATACAATCAAATTATCAAACAAAAATACATGTCTATCAGATGGACGTCGACCTGTATGCTTAATTAACTCTCCATCTACAAAAATAAAGGCAATGAATAAAATTAATTGAATACAATGCTTCTGTTAGAAAATAAACACAAAAGAAGAAATAAAACATCAGACTAAGAAATCTCAGAATCAGATTTTTGTCAATATGCTCACATACCTCATGACCTATTAAAATATCCGATCCATTTCAAATGATCAATTTTAAATATCTAGAAATTGTGAGTACAGTATTCGGTATAAAAACAGCACTGGATTGCAGATACTGGTGAAGTTCCAGGCCTGAATATATCCCATTTATAATTTTGTTTATTGCGATTCTACTGTAGAATTTACATTTTATTAATAAGATCAAATTTGATTATATCAGGCTTGAAGGCAAAGTAAGAAATATAACATAGCTTTACCCATCTACTTACCCATTATAAACTCACTACAACTCTGTCCTATTGTTTTACCCTCCCAACCATCAATACTTTTTTGTATTTCATTCATTTTCTCCAGAATTTCTGGTCTGCCAAATCTACCTTGTAACCGTAGAGATATTTCCCTATAAAAAAAAAAAATCAATGAATAAATTAATAATACATAAAAACCCATAAATTAAACGCAACTCATTTTTCAAAATAAGTAGGCGACTTTTAGTGGATTCAATGCAGATAACAAATCGTTAATTTTGATTAAAAACAAATTTCGTTTTATTTAATGCTTTTCATGGCCTCCACTACATATAAAGCGTTCATGTAGGTGAACTCTTCGCCTTAGAAACCATTCAAACAGTATCTCCAAGAATTCTATGTGAATATCATGTAAAACCTGACTAAACAGACCATTTCACTGACTAATCGCTTTCATTATACAGAACATGGTTTATGTAAATAAAAAAAAACTTTAAGATCCTACCCTTTTGACGACAACTAAAACTAAATTGAACTATAAAAAAACATGAAACAAAACTGGACAAGTTTTTATCACATTCTATAGTAAATATAATCAATGAAGTTTTTAAAATATAAAAATGTTTTTTACTTACCATGGTTTACGTTTAGGAATAGCTCCACCAAACTTTCTTTCCATGGATGCTTTAAGAGCTTGAAGTAAACTGTTAGCTTGTTCTAAACATTCTTGATCTTCTTCATTTTTACTACTTTCTATCAATATCTGTAGATACAAATAACACCTTTGTTTTTCCTTACAGAAGATACAGCTTATGGTCTTGGAAATAAATTAATGAGATCAGGACTCAACCTAGCGGGCAAAGTGGGTGAAACAGTTGGCCAACCATTGATGTTGATGACTCTCGGCCTAAGACACCCTAGAGGGAAGTCAAAGTTGCCCTTGTGTGGCTGTAGATATAGAACTATCGTATACAAGCCATTTCTGTATTGACAAACACAGGGATGGGGGTTTAACGTGTCTTTGACAGTTTGGTGATTGAGACTAACATATGTATTTTTTTTTTCTATATGATTATGTGTGCAAAACTAGAAAGAAGAATTTTTATCAGGACAGCAGTGTTTCCGCCTAATTTTCTTCAATTTCCAACTGTTAAGGGTTCTTTTATGGGCATGCCAATGTGTATACAATTGGAGTCAAATCTGAGATTGTAAAGTCCAGAAACCAAGACCGCTCAACTACAAAAGCTCCATACGTGGTTTGAGGTCAATGAACTACTACCAAACTAGTTTTGAGTTCACATAATGTCATCAATAGCTTTGACGTGGAAGTGAAAATCTCCCTCATTTTATATAAGCTGCTATATCACTCAAGTGGCTTAATTTCTCTCTCTGCCTAGATTTCCTTGTAGTGATAAATATTGTAAAATGTGATAAGTATTGTAACATATTACCATAATAATAATTTTTTCTTTATTCGGTAAAGAAATGAACTTATTTAGACATACTTACATCAATGACTTCAAAATAATGTAAACAATGATAGACAGGTCCAAGTAGTAATTTAGGTAAAACATATTTGACAGCTCCTTTAAAACCATGACCAGCAGACTGAAATAGAACACATTACAAACTTATTGTACATCTTTCATTAATAAAAATAACAGGATAACAAAAATTCTCTACAATGTTAAACAATCAAATTTCTACAATTTACCATTTAAAGGACACAATCCTTTCCTCCATTTTTAAATGACAACTTATTCATTTTTTTCTCGGTGAAATCCTATGCATAATAGATATTTACTAAATAATTTAATAAATTTGAAGGTATATTGTGTTTTAGATTCATGAGCATATTTCTACTTAAAATGTTGTCTAATCAAGAAATACAGCCTGAAAACTTAATTGCATACGGAGTCGACTCTTTGTTTTCAATAATCTATTATTGCTCATGTGGCTTATTTTCACAAGTTCTCTTTCAAACACCTTAAACAGTTTATATATTTATCTATCCTCTTAGAAAGATTTTTGCATATAATAGCATACTGGCATGATCTTAAATCAAAGTGATATCAATTTTATACAAAATACATAATTTAATTTTCAAGCCTATATTTCAAAGGACAATATACCTTTAAGCATTGTAATCTTGTGTAATAATAAAAAAAAAGAATTACAAGATTTATAGCTGACTACTTACCTGCATATACTGACTAACATCTTCTCTTTGTAATAAAGTATATAGTCTTTCTTTACCTCTAGGTGCCATCATATCATCTACATATTTCTCATATACATTAAATTCTTCACCCTGTTAAATTTATTAAATAAAGGGTAAAACTATGCAAATTATGTATTATTTCACAATATTGACCATTATTGGACTTGTGGTCTAAGGGGAGATAATAGGTAAGAGTTATCTTCCTGGTATGAAGATTATGTCAACCTAAAAGACGTCCCAAACTTAGGCTGCCTATCTACAGCTAGCTCCGGCTGAGAATAGGCCCTAAGCTAATTAACCGACATTTAAATTCCTACATCGACGATTTTAGTCGAAAACACTGAGTATGGTTTTAGAAAATTTTAAAAGTATTTATTTCTCTTCTATTGTCATATTGAATGAAATTAAATATGTTTATTTAGCCGCTGTGTGTATGAAAGATGTCAAACTAATCAAAGCAGAATCACAAAATAGTCCTCTAATTATTCAATATGGCGGCGCCCATGAAACATAATTTCACAGAGGCGGTTTTGTTTGCGAAAACAAATTTAGGAGTATCTAACCTTGTTTTGAAAGATAAACAGATTGAAACTCTAAAGACAGTTTACAATGGTAAAGAGTTTATTGCAATATTACCCATAGCACATATTATATATCGCTTTTACGCGAGTGTCAGCGACATGCCGTGTTTACATAAAACACACGTGCGTGGGTTATTTTTATTTTGTTGTCTAAACAAAGCGGTGTCGAATCGATAAGTCCCGCCCCAAAATGATCACGATTCACATGATCGTTTTAAATGGCGGATAATCAGTGCAGTGTAACATTCTGGGAAGTATGACGTAGATGGGTCGCTGTGTGCAGTATGCCTAAAAGAAAGATGTGGTTTGAGCACACGCCTGACATAATTGAACAAGTAATTGGTCGAGATAATATCATAGTTAGTAGGCACATGGATTGTTGCCGCAAATTCTTGTGTTTACTAAACTGACACATTTTGAAGTATTGAGAAAATTCAATTCCAAAACGCCAAATCGAGTAGAACTGGGCGATATCCCTGAAATCAGATATCAGGATATATTCACTATATCGCGATATTTTATAAAATGTCAATTATTTCAGTTTATCATATTTTATATGTAAAAAAAAAAAAAAACATGCATAAAAAGTTGGAAATACCCCCGAGTAATTATTTGAGACTTTCTAGTCAATATTATTAAAAGTTTTTAGCATAAATACAGTACTGAATTTACAAACAAAACTTAATGAGCTGGTTCAAACACAGATCTATCTTAAGCCATGAAGACTTGCTAAATATATTGGTCTATGTTGTTTATTACAATTTTAATTTCCAGTATAATTAATTATGATATTTTACTTAAATTAAGAATATTTACATGAATGAGGCACAAAAAAAAACATTTAAAAAAAGTTTGTATTCTGTCGGCCGTGAATGTTTTTTATAACTACGGGTACGATTGGATTCTATTCATTTACCCAAGCAAACTCATTTTTTCTCATTCAAGCGCATACCTTCTTGAAAATGCATTATGCAATGCAAAAATTATACTATAAAACTTAAGTAAATGTCAAAAAGTGTCCATTGATTTAGTCAATTACATTTTTCCGGATCACGAAACGCCATGACACGTCTGACGCTGAATGATGATCAGTCTACTGGAACTCTCAATATAGTTGGAATTATTTATATTTCAGCTTTATTAAAATTTAATTCAATCTGAAAATCAATGATCTGTATAAACATCTGTATAAACAATTCGTCCAAAAAATGAATAGAAGCAGAAATAATTATAAAAGTATTGGTCGGGTGGAAAAGTGAGCGAGAAGTCATGTGACGTAAACAAAGCTCTTTATCGGCATTAGCTAACTTCGTGGAATGAACACTTGGGAGTTTATAACAGTATTTATTGCTATTTATTCTTAATTAAGCAATAAAATATCGTAAATAACATAAAAAAAAGAAGGCATTTTTTCAATTTTCATGTTAAATATCATCCATAATCAAAACCACGATATACCGCAGTATGTTAGTTTTTTTTATATTTTTCTGAAGACGGTATTTTTGACGGTTTTTATTTCTGTGAAGGTTTTATATCAAAAAACCGAAATATCGCCCAGCTCTACAATCAAGTATCCTCTACAGAATCTTACCAACCTGTTTTTTTTAAAAATATATATAAATATTTATGGATATTTTTGTTTCTTTATCACAAAGAATAATCAAATTTCCAAAAGTAGCAAAACATACATACCTCAGCAATATCTTCAAAACACGTTCCAACTAAAGGCGTTTCCCTTTCATCTGTAATTTCTACTTGGTCTTCTACTAGACTAAGTAATTTAGTTGTAAGATCATATATATCCAATATATTACTAAATATAACATCTAAGTCCTGCAAAGAATAAATTATTTTTCCATGAATATCAAATCTTTCAGCAGAATTCCATAGTATAAATAAGTGGTTCTCAACCATTTTTTCCCAACGACACACCTTGGTACACATGAAAAAATCGCTGCACACCTGGCTAAATATATATGAAAAATATTTGAATTTTGCAAAATAAAAACATGGCAAGTCAGACGGAATACAACCGTAGACAGAGACTAGTTATAGACACATAGAATGACTCAAACTAAATAAAGAAAAACACAGATATGAACTTATCAGTAGATGCCAGTGAATACTCAATTGGGATCACGTGGTTTTTCACATTTTCTAGGTTGTCATTCAAAATTTCGCTGGTATAAATCCAACAGCGTTTGAAGTTTGGATTCAATTAAGGATGCAGTAATACCCCGTGATTGCGATTAATTGCCACCTATCTCAATAATTGCTGTATCACGATATATCACAATTATTTTAAAAATAATTGCAATTATGATTTCAGAGAATCAAATTTATAAAATTTGGAAAGTATTTCGTATCATTTTGGCCAAATTCTCGTCAAAATAACAGTAGGATAATAAAATATCTTGTGTAAAAAGCTTCTAGTACGCCGCTGCTCATTGTGTTGAATACTGCACCGTTGTCATAGAAACTAACTCCACTGGTCCGATTCCTGACAACTATGATATGTACAAGTTATGTGTCTGGATAATATTTCTTTTATTTCAGTTAGAAACCAAGACTGTCAAACAAGAAAACTTGTAATAATAATTACGATAATGAATCCTTCAGTTCAAGCACGATTATTTGAATTATCATGATAAATGATCTCATTACGATAATCCAAGATATTGTGATTATTCATTTTGCAATAATCATGATCAATCACAATTATTTTTATCTTTGAAAGGCATTTAGTGAAAGTGATATATAATAAACAGACAGTTTTACGGATAACATTCACTAGGTTTATTTTTGTATGTATCGTTGCATCCTTAGATTCAATGATTGATAGGGGGTTTACAATTCTTACATATACGGATACAGAAGTGGAGAGATCTGAATTGGGTTCAATGAGCTATCAACACTTTAAGTAGGCCAGTTTGATAGTAACAAAGAATTTTTTGATACTATTAAATTATCAAAAAAATACAATAATTACCTTGCTTCGTGGAAATAACTTTGCAAAGGGAACTCTAAATACTTTAATGATTAGATTTAGATCTCTCAAATACTGGGTTTCTTCTAAAATAAAATCTTTAACAATATCTTCATATTTCAGGGAATCACGATGTATTGGTTCATTCTCTACCATGGACATGGACATTTCTTCTTCTTGTGAAAACATGTCAATTAATACCTAAAGAAAAGATAATTAATAAAATTGGTTAACAAAATAAACTTCTAATGTTAAAATGACTAGTAAAGCTTTCTGATATGCGTACAAAAACAACCGTTGATTGCATTGGATTTTATTTTCTAATTTGTTTTATGAGATGAAATCTGTATTCGTTGAAAATTTTACGTCCACGGAAAACAAATACTTAATAGTACAGAGCTTGCACCATCATCAATTGAAATAGCACATCAGATCAATCCACTAATATGGTTATAATGAACCAAAGGAACAAGAATTTCCATGTTAAAATACATGTAAGACTTACCTGGTCAGCACATATTGCCACTTTTACGTCTTGACATGTTATTTCACCATGTCGAATATTTTTCACATATGTTCCAGTAAACTGTTATGTAGAAAAAAGAAAACTAGAGATAAACACCTTGTGTGAGTGATTGTTAATTGGTCATCTGACTAACTTAATTTTAAAAGGAAACATAAAAAAAGGATGAAGAATGTTTTTGAAATTTGATTATTGTAAATTTGATAACTATCGAAGAATGGAAAATTTGCTTACTACAAAGTATAATCTTCCCTTATAATAACATTCAAAGTATACTCAAAGACATAGAACAAAGACAGAAATCAGACTATTGATGTATAGTATCTGATACATGAATCTTAATTCTTTATTATTAGACAAGAGCTGTGTCTGATAGTTTTTATCTATCTATCATATAACTTAAAAAAAAAGGTTAAGTAGAACATAATATTACATACCTTGAGTATATCTGCTGCGATATATTCCAATACTGCTACCATATATACTGCTACACTATAATCTACTCTATAACCAAGCAACTCCTACAAATACATTCAACATCGTTATGTATGATCAAATTTAAACAAGATAATTTAATTTTATTATGTTAACACTGATTTGCAGTCTACACACACTTAGTCCAACCGAGGAGACAAATTGTAAATTATCATGTCATATGCACTACAAGTATATATAAGCAGTTTCCATAACATTTTCACCACCATGTTTTCATTGTGTGCATTGGCAATAAGATTCTGAAGTCAATCTGCATAGCCACTACTTTAAATTCTACCAAACAAGAAACCACTTCTTTTCTACCAATCTACACAACCAATTTTTTACATTTTTACCAATCTACATAGTCACTCCTTATATTCCACCAAATTAGTAAGCCACACCTTTACATTCCAAACTACTTAGCCACCCCTTTGTCTTTATATTCCGTTAGCCACACCTTTACACATCACCCAACTACCTAGTCACCTCTTTATATTTCAAAAAGCAACTTAGCCACACCTTTACTATCCACAAAACTACTTAGCCAACCCTTTACACTCCAAAAAACTACTTAGCCACACCTTACACTCCAACAAACTACTTAGCCACACCTTTATATTCCAACAAGCTACTATATAGCCACACCTTTACACTCCACAAAACTACTTAGCCACACCTTTACACTCCAACAAACTACTTAGCCACACCTTTATATTCCACCAAACTACTTAGCCACCCATTTTATGTTTTATCAGTCTCTAATTAGCCAATCATGCTCTAGTAGAACTTCTACTAATCGACATACATATTCACTCCATTAACATACATATTCACTCATAATATATTCACTCCATTAACACACATATTCACTCCATTATGTTCTATCAACCTACATACAGCTACAAACAAATTTTGCAAATGAAGATATCAGTGAAAACAAATGCCATAACTCACTTTTAATAAAGGATGAACTTTATCAACAGGTAGATTTTGATTGCTATTTTTCTTCGCTTTAACGCCAGGAGCCCGTTCTAGGGCTTCTTTCGCATCTTTTATTGCCCATTTATCAATGGGGTCCGGGAAAGTTTTCTGTATTCTGTCCTCAACATCTTGTACTTTTTGAGGTTGAGAGGCACAGAGAGAGACGAGTAATTGCAGCAGTAGTCCTTCAATATAATCTAACGCATCTTCTTTAGCACTCAGATCTGAGTGAACTTGACGCTGAACCTATAATAAAATATAATTTAATGGAAATATAATGAACATATTTACATAAATAGATACATCCTACATTCCGACCACATAACTGATTTCAAAATATATTAATAAATACCAGTCAATTCAAGCATATAGTAATCACATCGTTAATGAAATCCTATCTCACTACAACAGTACCATACACATCTTAAAGTGTTCTGTTGAGGTCACATTAGTCCCAACTGTTTGGAAGCACTTTATATATAGAGATTGCTAAAAGAAGTCACTAATAAATGGCTAGTGTTCAATCAAGTGTCAGTCTGGATCACAGGCTATTAAAATATAGGGTTTGGTTTGAAATGATATGACCTAGTTGATTTGAGTAAAAAAAAAAAACATAACTTCATTTAAACAAATTTGATAGTTAATTTTTCTTTTACAAAGTGGGTATCTGTCTACCATACATTAAAACCTTGAGGTCGACAGAGAGAGCCAATGTTGAAAACTAACCAATTTTGTGTCGAATCGTAGTCAACAGTTTATTTTATTTCAAGTGATCAGTTGAATAAATAACCTGCTGGAGACACCAACAGCTAATCAAAATGCTTGACTTCAAAAGTGTAAAGTGATAGTGAAAAACACTGATTTGACCTAACTGGTAAGCTCAGTTGTGCAAATGTTTTGTTTTGTCGCTAAATTAGGGTGGGTATGTTAAAAATTACTAATAATAATAGTTTAAATTTATCTTTGATATGAGAGGTTAAGCTAATACTTTTTTATAAACAAGATGAATTTTCAAGGTACAATTGAAGGGCTCCAATCACAGCTAAAAACAAACACATCAGACTCGTAGCCGTAATGTAGCTATGTCGCCTAGGAAGAGGCAATATTTCGGCATATATAATTAGAATCATACATGTCTATAGCTATAGTCCATCCATAGTAATTGAGTGGATAATCATAAAAGTATTGATCAACCGCAGTACTATTCTTACACTCCCTAGGGTCTTTCTTCATAAACAATTTTTCTTACCATTTTCAGCAATTTAATGAAAATTCCTTTCCACTTTTTTGCATTTTCATCAGAGAGTAATACTGATGTGACACTGTCAGGACTTGTTGTGGTTGTAAACATACCACTTCGTTGAGACATTTTGAGGGGTTTTCAACAAAACTGTCAGGTTTTATTATATGTAATGTTTGTTCTTTAGCAATGCCATATTATTACATATTATTATTATTATTACAAATACGGGAGCAAGGCAAAGGGCCATAATCATGATAATCCCAAGCAGCCACAAAAAAACATTCCTTGATATAACCTAATTGTAATGACATTAGAGTATTTGGTAATACAGTATATTGGCATGGCCTTGACAAATGTTATGAGTAATCATGCCATAACGTATTTTCTTTACACACGAACACGTAAAATTGAAGATTTGACAATTCTCCTGTCACAGATTTCCGCATTTCCACCGGAAACGACTAAATAAAATATGCTGTGCGCATGTCATATAAACGAAACCAGTTACTGCAGCCTCGTCTGGGAAGGTGACGATTTTTACCTGCAAAATATATCTGAGTGGTAACCTAAAAGATCAAGCTTCGGGCGAAAAGGAATTGAAACGAAATAGTTTCTAGCGCGTGGTAATATCCCTAAAATGTTTACATCGCTCAGTAATAAGCAGTAATTGTATTCCATAGAATTGTTACCTGTATATCGCTAGTAAAGGTTGTAATGTGTGTGCCATGTAGTATAAGGCCCATGCCTGTGCGCACAACAAAACATTTGATTATTTATTGAGACCTACACATGCCAACAATTGAATAATATATTCTGGAAGTGCGTATGATTGATAAACAAGTTCGAACAGCTGCAATTTTATAAATATTATTCAGGCTATAAGCGGACGATTTGATAATATTACTAACTTTACACGGAATGAATGTTTAAGACATGAACGATGATCAAGACAATGCTGAATATTTGTTGTTTTTTTTCCAATTTTTTTTATTATTTTTTTTTGCGTCTTTAAGTATTTTTATTTCGTTTTATTTGACAATACACAATTTGTATGTGTCTGTAATTAGTTTCGTACGCACGCGCAGCGTCGTGCGGCTATTACATTTGACAGCATATCCTTGAAGCTAAACGTGTTGTCCAGCGACGACAGCAAGAAGCGGCTAACCCAAACATGAAAATAATAAACCGTTTCTGAGGATTTTGGCTGACTTGGTTTAGTTGTACCAAATCAACAATAAATAAATACAATTTTCAACATTACAGAAAGTAAATAAAATATCAATTTTGAGATATTGATAAATATACTATACTAGGCTCCCTGGAGAATGATCGCTAGCCTATATATAGGCCTATCCTATAGCCTACAATACCGTTCACACCCACTGTCTTTATAATGTCTCAAGGGGTAATAATGATTTAGGCCTATACAATATTTACGTAAGTTAATACTTTATGAATATAAAAATAGTAATTAATAATAATGGAAATAATAAAATAGCCTATGCAATTATGAAAATACTAAGAATGCAAATAATAAATATTATGCAATTATGAAAATGGTAGCCTAAATAGGCCTATAATATTGCAAATTACAAATATGTAATTCACTAATAACTAATGGTGTATATGGTTGCTTTAGTCAATACGAATGCAGTTGATCTCTATGTATGTAGCCATTCTCTCTTTCTCCCTTTACCAACCTTATATAGGCGTGGTATTTCTTGTTGACTTTTCTGTCTAAAATCGTAGAAGAGGTTTTGAATTTTTATTTTCTGCCAGGTTTTGCTGATTATTTATGATTTGGGTGAGGAAGGTCAGGAAGTCAACAGACAATTATAGGATGATCGCCTACTAAAATGACGGACTTCCCAGAGGTTCTTTTGGCCAGGCCTAGCCAAAATCGAAGTGGCCAACCCTTCAATAATTTGTTTCAGATGATTGTGACATATTGTGCTCTTTGTGGTTATAAATATTAAGATCATCGGAATTTCTAAAATAAGGTTATAGGCCAAGACATGTCACGAATTTAACATTGATTTCAATGGGGAGATTTTACTAGTCTGGGCCCATACGAAAATAATTTTAATTACCATTATTTTTTAATATGTCCAGCCTACTCTGTCCCAAGAACACTTCTTTAAAATAATCTAAATCAACTTAAACAAAATGTTAAAATACCAATTCTAAGATTTTCGTAATAGTGCAAAAATACATAAAAAAAAATCCGCGAGAAGACCAGGCAAAAAACGCAAAAAGTGCTAAGATGGGGATGGGGTGGGGTCGGCATGACAGCCCCTAGGGGCAAAACGTGACACGCCGAAGGGCTTCCAACCTGACGTCGCTATAAAGGACTGTACTGGAAATAGTCATTTTATGGATAAAATTTTGGTTTTCATGTATGTACATATATTTTATCACCCTTTTAAGCACAGATTGTATTTTATGGTGCAATAGCATCCGGCTGGTTTTGGCCCTGTCTGATAAAACGGGTGGCCGACTTCCACCCAAGCACTATTTTTTTTTTTAAAAAAATCAGAACATACATATTTTTTGTGGACTTGTTTTAGCGCACCATATTCCCCATAGTACAGAAAAAGACACACTTTCATGGTCGCAAAAAGAATTTCGTGAGATGGTCTTGAAGTGCTAAGCACATAGTATCAATCGGTGTAAAAAAAAAATGACCGGAATGTAACATACTTAAAATATACAGCTTATTGACAAGTTCTCAAAATAAGCCTTTCCGATATATTGTTTTCAAATTGAATTATAAAAATAATTGTTTTGGCTATGATACGTTTTCATCGTTTCCATAGCTGTCATTTGTACCATTATATATTTGTGAATATTTCTATTTATTGTATATTTGGTATTTGTCGTATTGTCCCTTTAACATATGAGTTGGGTCGCCTGTCCAACCTCGTGGGTTTTCTCCAGGTCCTCCGGTTTCCTCCCACTGCTAAAGACCCCTACGCGCAAGCGAATTATTGAAATAAAATTAATCCATATGTTAGTCCCGAAATGACCTAGTTTGTGTCGAGCGGACGTTAAACCACATCTCTCTCTCTCTCTCTCTCTCTCTCTCTCTCTCTCTCTCTTTAACATATTTGTTGTATGGTCCCTTTAAGGTTTTATTTTCAAACATGTCACCGAAAATGGCTATAAAATGCTCAATTTCAGAGCATATTTCCACTATTCATTTTGACAAACATCCACTTATTTCTATAGTACAGAAATGTGGAAGCTTAAATTGTAACGCAGTCTTGTGTCGAAGTGGCCGACGTTGAACAGTAGCATGGTGGCTACGGCTCTCGGGCGCCGTCTGCTACACCTTCAGGTTAGGATTCAGAATAAGAGAGGACCTAGGCAACCCCCCACCCTCACGACGAGAGGAAGATGAACAGGGCCCGCGACATGGTCCTCGGGACCCTGGGACAGGCAACTCAGCGAGAGGGTGGGTTGGGGGTTCTCTCGCCCAGCGCTCAAAAATTTGTGAAGATACATGGTCTCGACTAGCGTCATTTTGGCGTATATCTGGGTAACTGGAGGACATTTTGCTAAAACACAGAAACTGATATTTAACACAACATATGACATACCAAATACATGTACTAGATATACGTTTTAGTTTTACTGAGGTAAATATAATCCGATATATACTATTTTGACAGGAAATTTTAAGCAAGCATCAAATGGAAAATCGAAAACAGTGACCATCCGACGCCAAAATATCATCACATAAACTATTTGTTTATGTGTTTAATACCCAAAATCATGTTGAACTGGTACCCTAGCGATGAGAGCCTCAAGCAGAACGAGAAAGGACTGGCTCTCAACGGAGCGAAGGCCCGGGCTTATAGTTTTTACCCCCCCCCCCCTCCTGACTAACAGAATCTCATTCTAATCCTACCCACATTCAGAAAAGTCACCGATTGTCTTCTACTTTACGATCAAGTAACAGTTTTATTTTTATTAATTTTGACCAACAATTTTTTTAAAAACATTACGCGACACACCTCCGGACCTCTCTAGGCCCTGGGCCCCTGGACATGTGTTCCAGCTGTCCTCCCTTAAGCACAATTGAGCAAAGTTGCGGATCATGACACCATTTAAGAACGAGTGCATGTAATAGAGGCTTTATTATGATTGTCAAAAATATTATACACCTTAGCCGGAGGGAGGCCCCCAAGATCCATATTCCTAAAGCAATGGCCCAAGAATCCCTCTCTGGCCATTGCTGGATTGGTTTTTGATACCTGAGCTTAAGAGGGAGTGTGTCTATTCTTCCCCTTCAATCATATCTATCCCAAGTACAGCAACATGACAGCCCTTCGTTTAATCTGGGGTCTTCCCTAAAACTTTGGACAATGATTTAAGGTATTAATAACGTGAATGTATTGTTCGTCTCCAAACCGTATTGTTTACATTGTATTCGTGTTGATAGTCTCGTTTGTCACGCAATTAGATTTTCTGCAATATTCTGCTATGCACTGGTTAATTGGGCATAATATAATCGTGAGTCATTATATAACATTATGTAAACATATTTGGTCCAATTTGGTACTCTGTTTAAAGCATAATGATATTGTTTCACAGTTGGCTATTGATTATTGATTGTTAATCGGACTATTGACCAATCATAATTTGGAACAGAAATTTGCTTCCATTACAGCAGTGTTAAGTGGGATTAGCTCTAATCAAACGAAACACTGCGAGGAGTATGCATATATCTTGAGATCCTAGGCTTTAGACTGCCAATCCTATAGGTGAATCCTGCACTGTACGCCTTAGAATTATTTCAGATGTTGATGAATATATCTTATAAATTAGTCGATACGTTAAGATTTTTTTCTTAGCTTTTTGCAGACTGATATTCTGAAAGCTGCGATTAGTTGTTGTTGCCATATCGCTACATTATTATTATTATTATTATTATTACAGCATATTTATAGCGCGCTCTTTCATATAACATGTTTAGGGACACTTTACAAAGTAACAATGTAATCATAAATAAACGACAAGATTATGGACATGTTAACGATTGTATACAGAGTCAGTTAAAAGCCTGATTAAATAAATGCGTTTTAAATTGATTGTATTGCTATGGATATTACTTGTTGTTTTGGTTCTCTCGTGTATAATATAACATTAAATTATATATTATATTAATCTAAACAAATGGTTTGTTCAGAAATTTTAGTGTATTTCAATTCGAATACTCAAAAGCACCAGACTATCATCTGCGAAAGTATGGCAATTTAACCGTCAATCATGCGGTTGGTGGTAGGATTCTGACTTTTAGGTGAATTTTTCATTTTTCTTTGAGTTATTTAATTTAAATGTCCATTGAGAGTAACGGATATGTTTTGTTAAGATCGTTTCATTGAGCCCGTCGATAATCCAATGGAAGATGGTATTTGAGAAAAGACGGATTTTGGCAATGTCACTATA